GTCTCCCAACCTTCCCCTCACGGTAACTCAGAAACCGTTCCTCCGCTCATCTTGAAATTTTTCTCTGAGCTTTAGGTCATTATAAGCTTCCATTTCAAACACATTGACTGACCAAGCTGTAACACTTCTTAATAAAACCTGTGCTAGGGTGAAGAGGAAGAAACTAATTGCTGAGGATCAATTACAACAAGTGAACGGAAAGTGGAAGAATTTCAAGTTCTCATACTGAACTGTCCGCTATTTAGGTGTTTCTGGGCAAGGACTAAACCAGTGGCCGATCATAAATTGAAATAGGGGAAGAAATGCTGAAAGAATTTACACTTTTTATCGCGTTTAAACATTGTGTGTAACTAAATCGGGCTGTTTTTTGTGATGTCTCATTTCTGTTACTCTGTCAGATCTTTTCCTGGGGTTTTTAATTTCAGTAATAAGAAAATTTGATTACATGTTCTCTGGAAAACTCATCAATAGTGGTAGTTCTTCCTTGATTGCACTTTTAAAAAAAAGAAAAATAGATCAGATCCTTTAAATGTGTGCGTAGCAACATTTTAGGTGGGTGAAGCATAATGCTAAATCAACGGAAGTGGAGAGTTTGATAAAATCCACAAGTTTTGTCGATTTCAGAACCATCCTCCGCCCCCCCCCCTTTTTTTTTTAAGTATAGATACATTGGCTCCCCTTTATTCTTTGTTTAATAATTCTATGAATTTTGAAAAATTGACATTGCGGCAAAGTTTTCCTCTCTATTTTTCTCTTTCCTCTTCTCTTTGTTTTAGATTTGAAGAATGAAAAAACAGGCTTTGAATCTAAAATGGTGAAAGATGAGCTTTTGCAAGAGAAGACGGATGAGAAGAAACATAAAGAATCAGAAAACGAAGAAAGGCATGATGGTAGGCTTGATAATGAGCATGAAAAGCACGATAGAGCTAATGACAGACATGATGAGAAACAAGATGATAGGAGAAATAGAGATGGGTCTCGACAAGCTTGGGGTGGCAGTGGTTACTCGGCTTACCGCGGCAGTTGGGGTAGCGGAATGCGAGGTGAACGATCGCTTCCGAGAGGTAGTAGAGGTGGCCAGTCAGGCCGACACCAAGTGTCCAGAACCCGCAACAACCAAGACTGGGGCCGCTACGACTCTGGTGTATCGAATGAAGATATTTCTGCCTCATCTGAGTCAATCAAAGAAGATCGACGAAGTGAAAAGAGGTAAGTTAATGGCCTATTAAAGTATTATGTATTCCAAAGATTCTCTTATTATCTGTCCAATAAAAATTTAGGGCTAGGCGAACATTTGAAAATCTTGAACTTTCGAATTTCAAACTTATGAACTTTTTCAAACAAATGGTTGTAAGTTGGAAAAATTTGCAAAATATCTCATGGGAATGCTTTACCACCAGATCTCTTATAAACTCATCGGTGCAAGAGGCACTGTGATGACAGGAACCTAACTCGAGGAAGGGCCGGAGATTTGAGCAATATAGTTGCAGTTCAATAATTGTATTCATTAGACATTAATTTTATCATCATGAAAAATTGTTGCTTTCAGTTGAATAACCAAGAAGTGGTTCTGAACAAAAATAGGAAAAACTATTTTCTATTCTATTCAAATTTTGAATCTTTCTGTTGGGCGCTTCAAGGCCAAAAAATATTTGCCCAGCCCTATCAAAATTGCAATAAAAGTTTATCTTACAAGAACACGAAAGCACGTGTCCCCTTAGCAAAAAATGAACAAAAAGAGTGAAATCAAAAACCTTCTCAGCTCATCAGCTCAGCTCAGAATTTATTGTCTAGATTTCAATTGCTCTAGTTTTGGACTCCTACACTTAAGAATAAAGGGGGTCTGATGATAGTATGTAACTTCCCATTTTTTTCTCGTTTTGTTTTATGCATGCTGAGGGTTGCTGTTTTGATTGGCTGGCCGTTTACTTTTTAGGTACTGTTGCATTAGCACTGTTCCCGTAGCATTCAGCGCTCATGACTAATTGATTAAATGTGCGGTTTTGTAGAAAAACCTGAAGAGCTTGTTATATATCCTGAATCATTATTGCAACACTAATTACGAACTAAACTGAATCCAAACTAATATTTTAAAGACCTACTAAAGACTTAAGAAAACTCACACTTGTAATCATTACTGAAAGTGTCAAAGTTTCATTAATTTGTTTAGATATGAGTAGTCTGTTATTAAATTGAAATTTTCTGTAGGCAGGAGATTTTTTAGATATGCACTCAAATATGAAATTAGAAAAAAATGTATCAAGGTTATCCCTTTTTCTCTAACCCTAATAACAGTCAATGTTAAAAGTTGACTCAATGCAATTGTATTGCAGCTTTTTTAATTCTCGATTCCAAAATATTTATAGATATACTGTGCTAAAAAGCCTCAGAATTTCCATCAGCGCAAGTTTGAAAAATAATACATGTTGATCTGTAGTAAGATAGGGCATAGAAGCAGGCTTATAGGATTCCCTCACAATTGTTTCCCCTAATAGCCCTAAATTCTCATAATGATATCTGGCTTTGACTAAGTGTTCATAGGCTCATCTTAAATTTCTTAATTCTTTGTTTTGACAGGCCTACAAAATCTGCTCCCAGAAAAAGTGAAAAAGAAGAAAGGAATCGTGATACTCGTCGATCAGATGAAAAAGGAAATTATCCTCCATCAGAAGTTCGTCGGCATGATAACCGCGATAGGATGGGTTTTCGAAATGATAACTTCCTTGGACGTGACATGCCAAGGAGAGGTCGTGGAGGAAGTTTCCGCCAGTCGAGTGGTACCGGCAGTCGAAGAATAGACAGTTACGGTCCCGTGCAAGGAAAAAGCTCCTTTGGAAGCCAACAGTCTCAATCAAATGAGGAAACTGATAGAAAGTCGCATGGTGACGAGAAAGAAGCTCTTAAAGATTCACCAAAGAATCAAGAAGTTGCAAATGCAAATGATGACAAATCTAAACAAAAACAAGTACTGTCAGCTTCTAATTCAGGTAGGAACTAATTAATTTTAATGACACCATTAGCATGATTTTCTTTCAGCTCTTTTAGCTTGCCAAATTCTGCATGATTAATAATGTGTTACCCTTACTTTTCTATTTTCCTTTATCTTGCTAGCACCAAATTATTATTGAACCTGTTTTTGTTATTTTTTGATATTTTGTTACTCATTTTTTTGGAAATACACTTTTGTCAGAACCGTTGATTTTTGTGTAATTTATTTAACTCCTGTATCAATATTATTTTTTACCCAGTTTGAAACCTCACAGTAGAAATCCAGTTTTACAAGTTGAGCAAATATTGGTTGTTATTATCATGTATCATCCCTTTGAGATAATCAATACCATCAATAATTAGATTTTCAATTGAGCAGAAGTATGTCAATAAAGCCAGAAGGTACGATCAGGATTATAAAAACCTGATGAAACAGATCCATTAATCCAACTGTTTCGCAAATTTGACTTAATTTTTCTTGAAGTTGGTTTTGATAGTTGATTTTGTTTTTATCATCTATGAGTTTTTTTTTCGCCTAACTTCAGCAACCATTTTTTACTCTCTCATAACTGTTGTTGCTAGGAACCATTTATTTTAATAAGTTTTTTATTTATTTTCTGTACCGATTTTTTTCTGTGTCTTACTTTCTCGCCAATGCTTTGCTCCTTTACTCTCTTTGTAACTTCTTAGAAATTAAGCGTATGTAAAGAGAAAACTGTAAGGTCTAGAATACCTCAACTGTTAATTTTCCTCTTAACCTCCCTACTCCTTAAATTTCTGTTACCAGTTTGCTCACCTATGCTGCTTAGCTTATCCTGTTTGTTTGGTTTTTCTTCCGTTTAAATGCTTTTTTTTTTCTCTCCTCCTCCTTCTCCCCCCCCCCCCCCTCAATATCCACCACCGTTTACTCCTTTTTACATGAAATTTTCTTCTGGTTTTCCTTACATGTCAAATAGATTGTACAAATGATAAGTGAATAGCAACTAAATTAATTTTTTTGCAACTTAGTTAATATCCCTCCCTGAATCCATTCTTTGACCTCTTCCTCCTCATTATTTCAGATGATTATTGTATAAGCAATTCTTCAAAAGGTTAATCAATGAGTTTTCTGGGTACAAAGCTCCATTAAACTTGAGCGAGTTAGTTTTCCTGAACTGCCTTACTTAGCGAAGTAGGTGGTAGCAGCTATCTTAGATACACAGTTTTACATCCTGTAGTTGCTTCTAAGAGAAACTAGCACACCTGAACTACTGTAAACCCCTTTTTTGAAACTTATTATGCAATATTTTTTTTATGTGCATTTTATTTTTATGCATTTTTTTTTTTTTTTTTTTTGCATTTTTTTTTGCAATTATTGCTTCGTCCAATTCTCTTGTTCAATTATTTGATGAGTGTATTTGCCTGATTTATGAATCATAGTGTCATGATTTGCCCCGCGCATACTCACAATTTTCAACCAAAATTCTCAGCCTCTAGTAAAAAGCTTGAGACTTGCCAAGTTCCTCCACCAGAAACTGCTTCAAATTTCTTGCTAGACGTGAAATTCATGTTTGAAAACATTCTTCCGTGTTCCACTCCTCAACCTGTTGAAGGAGGTGTAGTTGAAGTTTGCAAAGCCTAATTAATAGCTCAGAAGTAGACCTTGGTTCTTGGGAAACGTTCTCACCTGTCATCTTTTGATGTTATATGGACTCCTGCCGAGATATGTAAATGTCTTAAAATTCTATGAGAGCAATGAATTTTAAGTAGAGGCAAAATTCCTTCTGTTGAAATGCTGGCTATGGAAGAGAGGGCAAAGAGTTGTAAGCTAGGTCTTGCCGGATTATTCTTCATTAATGAGAGTTCTGTATCCTAAAAAGCCAAGATTAATCTCATCTGACCAATTTTCCCAGCGCAGTGGTCTGCCTTCGTGTTTCTTGATAGTTAGACATTCAGTCTTCCCCTTCCCCCTTTTTTTTCTTTCCTCTAATCATAATTGAATTGAATACCTAAAATTATACGAAAGAGAATTTTATCTTGTTTTTCAAACACTTGGACTAGAGAAGTATGTCCTCTGGGCTCTTTAATTTTCGGTTGCATATTTTTAACCTCAATTCATTGGAACTATTCACCCCACAGGCTTTGATCCTTTGATATGTCGACAGTATTAGCGATAGAATTCCTATAACTAAATTAAAATACTACAGTTATATTCTCAATTGTTCACTCCTAGCATTCTAATTGATCTGCCATTTTGATGCGTCCTTCAAAATTGGAGGCCAAAGTAAAATGAAGACACCTCTGAAAACTGAAATACCTAAATGATGTTAGGTTAACTGGTTACGGGACTTCCAGACCGGAAGTCTTAGCTTTACAGCGTCCTCAATTCTGTTCGGTGTTCTTGAACAGGCTTCATCCACACGAGAACGGTTTATGGAAGTTCATGCGGACTTGTTTCCGGAACTTAGTATAACTCTGTCTTAACTTATTCAGCTGAACTCCAGTTTGTTGAACTGATATGCAAGAAGTTCTGCAAGCTGCACCTGTGTGAACAAGACGCTATAGCTATAAAATTTTTAATTTCTCTAAACACATTGTTTAAGTACATAATTTTCAAAAAATTTTGAATAATTTCTTGCACCAAATCCATCAATAATAACTTATTCTGGAATACTCGCGATTCCTACTTTGAAAAGTACCTTTTTTTGAGACCAAATTGAACAGGTGGCCATCCTTCTTCACACTTTCTCTCTGTGAAGTTACATTGCCTCATCTAAGATTGTAATGGTAATTCTGGAATATTTTCACTGAAATCTCCTCTATAGTGACCTCATTAGTTTATTAGGTAACTGAGATTCATTCTATACCTCTTGAGTGGATTTTATGTTGGATAATGCGAGCCAGTGTGATCCCAGTGTAAAAACATACATTTTGAATGGAAGGAAAAAGAGAAGGTGATGGCGGTTTCGGTTTGCTATTCCCTGACGTAGGTGGGTACAATATAGGATCAATACTCCTGCGAAAGCCGAAATTTGAAGTATGGAAAATGAACTGTAGTGTCTATTTTTTCTCAGTAATTTTTCACACTTTTCACCACACTTTATGACTTTTCCATAAGCTTTACCATTCTTAAAAAAACTTATGACAAAAATATTTATACCCACTTCGCCATCAACCTCTCCTAGATGCCGGCAATTTGAACTCATTTTTTTCTCTCTGTATATTGTGAATTTCCCTTTCCTGTCTTCGAAAACATCTTAATTGCAGTTTTTTTATTATTATCATTATATGAAACCATGCCAATATTGTTTATGGTCTGTTTACTAGTCTTTGTCCTTGCCTCTTTTTTTAAAACTTGGATATTTTCTCCTCTTCTTTCAGTTTATTGAAAGAATTCGAATCTAATTAAAGAAAAATAATCAATCTGTCCTAATGATAAATTGCAAGCAGTGAGTTTCAACTGAAGAACCTTATTTTTACTCTGCAAATTGATTGAAGGTTACATATGCAATTTTGGGTGCTTTCTTTCATTTTGAACCTTTACAGTGCTTGTTGTAATTTCGGAACAAGTCTAATCATATGAACCAAGGTATTTGCGAATCGGATCTTTTCCCTTGCATTCTGTCCTTGAAAAACTAAAGTCCATCAACAAATGCCCTCTTTGTGTTTTATGATACATAAAACATCTAACCCCTCTTATTTTCTCTCTGTTTCAGGTGATAAAGCTGCTTCAAGATGGCGAGACGAAGAGCAGAAAAGAAGTCAGAATGAGCGCAGACGAAAGAGGTCTAAAACTAACAGCAGCAAAAACAAACCGTCTGGGCCTTCGCAGTCCAGCAATGATGTTGGGAGTGAAGAGGTATGGGAATCAGCTAGTGAGACTAGCGATCCAGAGGCCAGAGAAAAGAATAGGGAAAATCAGAACAAGAGGAACTCTGAATATAGGTCTTCGCAAAAAGAAGGGAGACAGCAGTACTCAGGTTTTTCCAGGTAAGATTTGCTATCTTTACCTATCTAAGGGTCTTAAGTCCATAATTCAATAATCAATAGTTCAGATATTACCTTGAATTGGATGGAACGGATTTTTCAGGTATCTGGAATACAAGAATAAATTCAACGATAGTCCAAGAGATTACGGAGACTGGGGAAAGTCAGGGAAAGGGAAGGAATTCAGGGGACACGTTCGGGAATTTTGCAAGCAGTGCACCTACTTGGTACCTCCAAGTGTTGCCGCTCGAGCGAGCATGAACAACAATGATTAGTTTTTCTTAATTTCAATTTCTGGACGTCGGAAGATGAGGTAGCACTTGCCCTTTTTTCAAGAGTCACGCGCAGTTCGGCTAGTCTCTTTTCATCCATCTGCTCACTCTACGACTCTTCTAATCGCTCGTCTAGGTTTTTTTTTTCAATCATTGATCAAGGAGATGGAGGAAAAATTGATGTATTTTATGCCTTTCTATCCAGTTGAAATTGAAAATCTAGAAAAAAACTTTCTCCCCCGACCCACTGTGCGGCCCTGCTCCAGCCGGCTCCCCTCATGCCGCGCACCCCTCGCCTAAAACTTTCAAAGCTCGCCATTTTTAAACGGCTCGGCCGATTTAGCTCAAATTCAATACCAAACCAGTCCTAGGGGAGAACTACCACCCGTAAAAATTTCAGCTCAAAATATTCATTTTCGCTCGAGTTATCGAGTGGACAAGATTTGACCTCCCCCCACTTTTGAGCCCCACCCCTCAAAATCTTTTGCCTCAAATTTAAATTTTTTTTCGCAGAATAGTAGTTCTAATGAGTCTCTACTAAATGCAAAAAAATTGGTCAAAATATCTTTCAACGTAAGAAAGATATAACTACTCAAAAATCGAAAAATCTTAAAAAGGCGGAAATACATACATACATACATATATATTTACACATGAATTTGAATGGCATATATTTTCGTGATCTACGACCCGTGATCGGTGCTCTTCACAATGTCTCAGGTCTGGATTCGACATCATGGGAGAATGCAATAGTGTATTTCCTTCGGAAAATACACTAAAAAGTGCTGTATTTTAGATGACCTAACACTTTATTCCCCTTCATTACATCAGTGTCCATTTGAAATCCGATCTTTTTGCTCTTTTTCTGTAGGAATGAAAAGAGAGGTGGTGAACGTGACGGAGATCGTGAGCAGCGTGAACCTCGCGATCAGGGAGAACCTCGCGAGCAACGAGGACCTCGCGAGCAACGAGGACCTCGTGAGCAGCGTCCACCTCGTGAGCAGCGAGAACCTCGTGAGCAACGAGAACCTCGTGAGCAGCGAGAACCTCGTGAACAGGGAGAACCCCGTGAGCAACGAGGACCTCGCGAGCAGAGAGAACCTCGTGATCGGCGGGAGCCTCGAGGTGATCGCACTGGAGGTAGCAACTATGATAATCGCAACTCCAGAGCAGGCGGTCGAGGAGGGCCACCTGCCAACAAACAGGCAACAGATTCTGGCAAAGAGAAGGGTGACGAATCTAAAATGGACGATTCTAAAAAGCCTGGTGGAGCCTCCAACCATTCATCTGCTCCGAAAGATAAAGGTCTGTTTTGTCCCATTTATTATTACCTCTGATAGAATTACTTTCATTTGAAGTATGAACCTACATGTTCTTTGGTGATCCCGAGATTTGATCCTTGCCGAGAGTTCGAAAGCGAGATGCTGTGTAGTCAACTGCGTTGTTCAGAATGAAGTCATTAGTGATTTGATGGTATATTAATATGCCATGGAGGCGAGAATTGTCCCGCAAACTTGGTACAATCTTCGATGCGAAAACTGCCCAACTGCAAAGCTTACAAACGTTCATATTGTGCCACTTAAGGACCAAAAAGTCTAATTTCTTGGCTACAGATCTCTCTTCAAAAAATGAATTTTATGCACCTTAAACAACAATCATTCCATTCACCAAACATATTTGGCTATATTCAGTTACTATTTTGCCAGAATTTTTTTATCACATGTATATATTCAGAGTTGGGCACTGTTTCAAGCAGGCTACTCATTTAAACTCATCAGGAGTTCTCATTGAACCTCATAGTGAGTCTAAACAGTTGTTAAATGCGCGTGTGTCGTGTCTTCTTATTGTGACATGATATAATTTTCACAGGTGGAAAACCATCACGGTGGCAGGATGAAGAAAAGAGGCCTCGAGGTGAAAGAGGAGGAGAACGAGGAGAAAGAGGCGGAGAACGAGGAGAAAGAGGTGGAGAACGAGGAGAAAGAGGTGGAGAACGAGGGGAAAGAGGGGAGCGAGGAGAAGGTGCTGGAAGGAAGCAGCGTCTCAAAGCAAATGCACCCAAGTAAGTTCTCAATATTTACTTCGGTCAAGTAGTTAAATGAATCAAAATACTTATCAAGATTTCTTATGTGTGGAACCACAATTTGAATATTTTCTCCCTCTTCTGTTTGAATAAGTTGTCCAAAGATTTTGTTGAAGTTAAAATCTTTGCTCACATCTCAGAAGAAGTCCCTGTACAGAATTTCAAAATATTAGACAAACAACACTTCTGTCGTTTGTGAGTAGCATCTGCATGTTGTCTGGTATTAGTATTACTGATGTCCTAAAATCACTTAATTCTAGCATCAGTTAATCTTTGAGTTTACATGATTGGCGAAAATGTTTTTGCATGTCATCAGACCTTTTTCACACGTTTATGCTTTGTGCATTAAGTGTCACTGAAACACATCCAGGATCAAGATTTTTCATAGATTTTGTTCAATTTTCCTCCCCACCCTTGAATCATTGTTATTTTTTTCAGGGGTGAAAGGAATGACAGGAGTGATCGAAATGATAGGAATGATAAAGGCGACAGGCATGACAAACGTGTCGGTGGTGGCTCCGGTGGTTTTGGAGACCGGTCCTCGAGAGAGAATGGCAGATCGGGTGCACCTCGCAACAAGCAAGGAGATGGAGGAAAAGATAAACATGACGATAACAAGTCGGATGAATCTAAGAAGTCTGGCCTTGGGTCGAACCAATCATCAGTATTAAAAGAAAAAAGTAAGCTCATTCATTGAATCTTTAAGTAGTGTCTCCTCAAATTATTTGACACTAGCAGTAGTTTTGAACAATCGGTTGTAATGAAAGTCATTCTTCATGAAATTGGTACCTTAGAGTCCCTGCTGCTGAAATCTTATCATCAGTCCACCTGGTTGGTTTCTTTAGTGCTGGCACTAATCGCATGACTGTTGTTGTACAACAGTGGATCTGTCTCACGTTTTCGTGTTGAAGCTAAATGTAGACGTGTAAAAATGGCTGACCGTCCAAATTACCTCTGAAGTCAGCTATCTTATTTGGCATGAATGCAAGTAGAATTTCACGTTGTCCTATCAACCATTCGTACTTGACTTATCCAAGAATCTTTGTATAGAAGCATTCAGTAGCAATTAAAAACTTCAGATCTAGAATAAGGAACATAAATTTTATGAGAATTGCATGAAATGAAGAAAATATAACTTAACTGTACTTTTACGATTTGGTTTTGCAGAAACAGTCCCGCAGGGTCCACCTGCAGTCAATGCATGGGACAAGCCCATCACAGCTTCCCTTCGTGCATCTCCTCCTACAAACCCAGCTGTTGTTTCCGCTCAGCAGAAACTGATCGCACCGCTTGAAGCCAGGTAAGCTATGATCTAGGATTTCTAGCATTCGACTGCACTATTAGTGTTTATGTGAGACTCAAGGTGGTTGAAATCATTTATTATCATTACACATAACATCACCAGTAACTCACTTATGGAAACTCTTTACTAGGACTCTAATTTTGAATCTCTCTTCCACTTGAGAAAGTATTTAAATATTTTTTTTTTTAAAGCTCAGAAATGGTTTCCTAGCTGAAAGTTACTGTATAAACAGCTATTTTCTAGGTATCACTGTATCATTCAAGAATCTGATTCATTTTTGAGCTTTGTGCAAATGTTTTTTTCATTAAATTTCGTATTTAAAATAGTTTCTGTCAATTTTATCATATTTTTAGTTTTTTTTTGGAAATCGAGCTAAAAATTGAGGCAAGAGAGTTTTGTTCCGAAAATAGTTTATCTTGATTTAAGGAAAATCAAGATTCGTAAGGGGGAGGGGGGCTCCCTGCATATCATGGAAATGGTCAAATGTTCTATCTAGCCAAGAAACTCACAATGACTGCTATCAAGCCACTAAGACTGCCTTCTTCACACTAAGGTGTTGATCAGAATAAAGGATGAGAATAGTGGCTGTGACATGTTTTGGAAGAGCAGATCAGGTGAGAGTAGCAGAGAGAAACTTAATTCACCAGCCATTGAGTGGAATTTCACATTTTTGCAAATAAACAAAATTATTATTTTTGATGTGGATAGTGTTTGAAATTTTTCTCATTGAATTAAATTTTCTCTTCCCTGCAGCGCTAATGATGCTGGCCTGCATGAGCATTCGCAACACAATCAGTCAAGTAGTAGTCCTAGAAGTAGCCCAGGTGGTGAAAAGGTGCTTAACAAGGTAATTTATTTTGTCTAATCTTCTCTAATGCCTAATTATCTGAATCAGTAGTAGTTACTATAAATATGCGCTCAGTAACTACAGGAAAAACATTTTCTTCAACGTTTCCCTTGCAAACTGTTGCAATTTCTTTGAAATTATAATTTCAGGGTAAAGAAAGTCTTGAAATGTTTTCTTTTATTGCAGGCATTGTCTCCATGGGTAGTTGGGGGGGGGGGGTTTNGGGGGGGGGGGGATTTATCGTAGTGCTAGATTGTACAAAAGAAACTTAAGTGATTTTTTGCCGTTACCGTCACTACTATGCGATTTTAGCCACATGAAAATATTTACCAAGCAGTGAACAAACAATTTAAAACAAGGTAGGAGAAGACAGGGTATCATTAAATGATAAGTAAAAGTGACCGAATGGGAATAAAAATTAACAGTTGGGTGAACAACATAATTACATGAAAGTTGCTTTCGCTTCTTCTATCAGCTGCTCTTGGAAAAGTGACGAATATTGAGTAGGTCAGTATTTGTTCCTTCTTCGTTAGTGCATCTCTTTGCGGTGGCAAATCGCCGAAAAATGTCCTGTCAATACGAGACTGAACATGGTCTTATGTAAAACACAGTTTTGGCAGAAGAACAACTTCTATTCACAATGCGGTCTCAGATGTTTTGGAACGCTGTGAAAAAGTGTAATAGTATTGCTTGCTCTAACAATAAGCAGTGAACAAATGCGTCATTACCGGAAAGGCATTATCATCACTCGCATGAATTCAAGGAAAGCAAAAATTTAAAGTAAGAATCGTCCGATCTGCTGGAAATCTTTAAATTTTAATTTTATAACCAATCTAGGAATCAAGACCCAGCTTTGAATTTTAAAATTTGAGATTTTTGGCCAATTTAAGAGACTGACATAGGCATAAAGAATTAATTAATTTCAAAATTGGTCTTATCAGTTCTACCGTTTCTCATCGATGAAAGCAAATTTTTAAAATGAGGCCTGCTGCATATTATACAGTGAAACCTTAATTTGATAATTTTTCTGCATAATGACAATTTTTGCCGGTCTTGTGTCCAAATATCTGTATGAATAATGTATTTTATTTGGTTTTTGGAGCACTGATTATCTTTATCTTCAATTTTTATATTATTCTCCAGGTGGTTGAGAACTCTGATCTCGATGGTGCCTCTCCACCAGTCCAAACCGTCATTTTCGAAAATACGAATTATAAGTCTGCTCCAACAGACATTGCTATGAAAGCGAAGTACAATAACCACCTTAAAAATCAGAAAATTGAAGCTAAAGGAAGAGGTAAGTGTTTTTTTCACTCCTTTCATCTCTGTGTGTACTTCTCTGCTGTACATTTTAATGCTGGCATTGTTCCCTTTGAAGTAAAGAACCATTCAATTGAGTTGAAGTTAAAGCTTTTCAGAATATGTGTTCTTGTTAATATTTCGTTCAAAAGATGTTTAACATTAAAAAATAATTGATTTGTAATCAGTGAGTAAGGAATTAGTGTGAATAGTTTACATGAAAATCAGAGAATCACCATTTCACTCCCTAGAAAACATAAATTAATGTAGGTCAAATTGTCTACTAAAAATTTTTCAACAAATGAGGAATTTTGCACTTCCTAAAATGATTTTTCCTATACTCGAAACATATTCAATGTGGCATTAGAGAAAATTGGGAATTGTCCAGAGAATTTTGAACGCCTGGGAAAAGATCTACCATTCTTTTCTAATGGGTTGCTTCATTTTTCAGAGCGTAAAGTTGGCGATGAAAGTATGGGAGACTCGATTGGTCTTAGTTTTAAATCAGGTTCTGAACTTGGTAAACCAACAGAATCCATTCAAATGCCCATATACCAGGCAAAGGAAGATAACTCTGACATGAGATTAGATTTTAATTTCGAGTCAGACTTGGGTCAAAGCATCCTCACAGACAAATCCAAGAGCATGAGTCTTCCTCCTTCGATGCACATGGTCCAATCATCCACTGCCGAACTTAATCTGAAAATTGCATCCGTCAAGAAGGTAAGTTATTTTTACCCTTAAAGGACCCTGCACACTCCTTATGGGAAAGTGCACTACGATGGATTTTTAATTTTTTTATTGCTTTCAATTCATCTCAAGATGCTGATCAAAAGTCAGCATTGCGCCAACTTTCTACGATGCACCTTGCACAATACGCCTGGAACGCTTCAAATATTCAGCGATGAAGAGTCAGAAAGATTCATTTCAGCAATTGAGTGAACGCTTGGCTGTGTGTTAACAAGGAAATCAGGGAAACTCCAGCACCAAGCATCAGTCGTATCTCAGATTCTGCGCGCCTTCTTGCTTGACCATCCAAATCACATTCGTGAGGAACATAAGAATAGGAAAGACGGAGAAAAACAGTGAACGTCAAACGAACGAGAGCGGGAAGGAGATAGCCCCAGAGTAGGCAGGAATCGATAAGAAGACAGACACTGGCTACGTTTTTCCTTTTTCACATCAGACCTGTTCTCGAATGTCTTGTTCTTATTAACTATTTATCGCCGAATACTTGAAGCGTTCCGGGCGTATTGTGCGAAAACGGTGCATCATAGAAAGTTGGCGCAATGATCACTTTGATTAGCATCCTGAGATGAATTGAATGCAGTATACAAATTAAAAATTGATTGTGGTGTACTTTCCCATAATCAGTGTGCGGGGTCTTTTCACTGGCTTCATTGAGTCTTAAATCTATTGGACAGAAGATACTTGCGTTTATTCACGTTGATGGTAGCCGCTGTTCAGAAGCGAGTTTTCTTGGAAGTAGAGCTGCCATTATGAGGTCTATCATCAACCTTATTTTGAAGCACTTGTTTTAAGCATAACTAAAAGATACGGTCATGAGTTAAGAATCCAATGGGGTTTCCACCAATTTAAGTTCAAAGGTATTCTTGGAGTATTGATAGAAGGGCTCACAATAATTGCATGACAGCAAAACTTAATAGAGATAAAGTGATTCAAAACTCAGCCTTGAAGCAAACAAAATTTTAAGCAATTTACACCAGGATCATAAAATTCTATATATTGGTATATCTTATTTGTCCAAAATTCTTTAACTGTATACACATTCTAAGGACAACATTCTTGCTCCCAGGGATGTTGCCGGGAACCCCAGAAATCTGTTTTCATTGGACAATTGGACAGAAAAACACTCACATCAGAGTGTCTACTAAACAGGAATTTCCAGAAATAGTACTGATTTTTTAAAAGTGGTCCGGAAGTCCTGAAAAAGTGCGGAAATTCCTCCGGAAGGCCTGGAATTTTGTCTTTCATACCATGCGTCTTTTTTAACAAGAATGACATGACCCTTCAAATTCATATGTTGAAAGCATACTAAAACCTAGAAAGAATGCAATCCGCAGTGCGTTAATTCTTAGAGTAGTATTTGCCTGCAAGATCGCGATGGTGCTGTCAGCTAATTTTCTTGCCAATTTTTGAATTTCGTCAAATGGAGGCACCGATAAAGCACTAAATTTTTCTGTTGAGGAGGTACTGAATTTCTTAAACATTTAATGAAAAAGTACTGTAAAAACATTGATTTTTGGCCAGCCTGTTTTAGTGAACACTCAGCTCATGCATGTGAACACCGTAATCATTCACACTCAGAAGAGTCTCCGGAGACTTTTCCTGGAAACTTGTATCTCTAGGTATATGAGGTACTCTCTTTGTGTGTATCACATTCGTGAACTCTGAAATGATCGTAATGGATATTATTTGTTTTTTTATTTAAGGTGTGGGAGGATTCTGCCGGAACGGTGATGGAGCATCATGGTGGTGAAGATGGCTCATTCACCCCAACTTACAATACAAACAGCGAAGATAATTCCTCTGTTGCTAGTCATGTCACCAATGATCATGATCATGTAGAAGTTGTGTACAGTCCTGCCACAGGATATTCTCCCGCTCAACAGCAAAACCTCAATGCTGCCAACAGCAATGTCTGCAAAGTGAGTTCATTTCTTACACTCTATTCCTATCCCCTCACTTCTTTCAGGGTTTGTGACGCCTTACCTAGAATTCTCTTTGAATTTCCAAGTCTGTAAGTATCCTTTAGTCTTCACGAATTACTGAAGTGTGCTTGGAAGTCCTTGAATAATCCAATTTTTTTTTTTTTTTTTTCCCCTTTTTTTTTTGGAACCAGAGCTATTTTGATTATACGGTTTTAATTTGCAATTGGAGTCTTCTGAAATGTTGAAGAAAGCATTGCCCATGTACGACGCTGCTCCTTCATAAATAATTATCAGTTATTGAAGGTAAAGGGAGATAAAGTTTCCATATGTCAGTTAGTATTTCCAATTGCCGTTAAAAAATATTGTCGTGCATCCTAGAATTTTTTTTTGTTGTAATTTTGCCACCCCTAAGTTTCGCCAAAAGTGACCCCTCCAAAAGTCTTGGATTCTGGGAGGCTGTCATGAATCCTGCCATTTTCTTGGATTGTTTTTCTGGTTGACAGATTGTCTAGACTCACTGACTGATTGAAACTCCTGTTAATTTTTTCATCCAAAATCTTCAGGAAAAAGTTCTGAGTTTCTTGTAGACTTTAAATAAAATGTATGTAGCTATAACATTAGACCTACAAAGGACTCCTAATAAGTAATTTCTGCTATTTTTTTCTCTGCGCATAACATAGATAGGGCAAAACAACAAAAAGTATTTTATTGACCACACTCTCAGCTTTAAAACGAGCTATAGTTTTTTTAATTTTGACTCTCAATTTTTTCCAAACTCATCTTCTCCTGCCGCGGGTTGGATTTCTCCATTGCTAAGGCATTGCAAACGTGGCATTATTGGGTAGCAAAATTATGGCGACCTTCAAAGTGGCTTACCAAGTGGGTGTTACTGGTTGATCATCCACCACATGGTTGGACCATAAACACAAAAAAATACTGCACAGTCCTTGAAAAACTCGGAACTTGGATCACAAGGAATCAGCCTGGATGTCCAAGCTAAAAAAATTGGCTTCTGCATGGCAAATCTTGCCCTCTCTCAGCTAGAGTCCCTCAAGATTTGTTGGCAACTTTCAACTAAATTTTTCTACATCCACCATATTCTCTGGACTTGATTCCTGGTAATTTTTACTTTTTCCCTTGACTGAAATCGGATATCGTTAGAAAACCGCAGGGTGGCAATGAGGAGGTGATGAAACGCATCAACAATCGGCGCCAAAATCAGACAATAGAGTTCTTTGCTAACAGGATTAAAAAACTAGTACTGTGTGATCAGGAGTGTGAAAAAGAAGGATATTATGTCGAAAAATAAAACTAGGTTCTCTTCCAATAAATTTCGTTTTTCTGAGAGAAGTTAAAGCGTGTATGTGCAAAACGCGCCTAGAAATTGGACCTGTGGCATAAGGAGATGAACGCAGAAAAATTAATTATCTTAGTGACCTGTGGGTCAAAATTACATAAACTGTAGCTAATTTTAAAGCTGAGAGTGAACATTAGAAAACTTCTTACAGCGACTTGGTACATTTCAATTCTTAATGAATAGGCTAGTTTGAGTATTTGTGCTTTCGACGTTTTTATAGACTAAGACCATGAATGAGGGAATTGGGGGAAAAATTTCTATGAAGTACCAATGCAACTCTAACTGTACAAAATTCACTGTTGTTAGTTTTTTTTAAAAAAAAATTATTAATGTTAGGAGGAAAAAACATTCTAGAAAAGTACAACTAGAATAGTGCTCTATTACTGACAAATTTTTTCACCTTTGAAGAAAAATTAGAAATGAGTAAGTGAAAGAAATATTGATGAGGGGAACCCCCCCCCCCCAACTGATATTAACAACTGTGGACTGGCTCCTTGCGTCAGGTAGCAGAACTACTCGCTGGAAATTAAAATAATCAACCTGCAACTCACTGATATTTTAATGTCCTAAGGATTTCAAGCAACTTCTCTAACTATTTGGGGGGGGGGGGGGATTTAAATCTTGATACCATTTTGCTGCAGAATCTTCATTTTTTTTTTCATCTTTATTGTTTCTTCTTTCTGACAGTCATGAATTTATTTTTTTCTCTTACACTGAACAAGTTGTGATTTTTTTCCCATGTTGTTCTGATGTGCAGCTCATTGCTCCGCAGGTGAAGCCGCAGCCAGCCCCTGGAGGCCCCCTCTCCCCACCTCCTCACAATCAGTCTGCTGCAGCTCACATTAATTATCAGGTTAGCAGCTAATAGTTTTACCATCCCTTGGCCCAGCCTTGGCTCAGGAGACTGACCCTTTGAAAATTAACCGTGGCCGCTTCTGAGTGATTCTTGAATTTGAATGGTCTAACAAGGGTTGTATGAATAAGTAACATTCGGTAAACTCCCCACCCATCAACCATTTTGTTTTGGCATAAATTATCCTTTTTTCTTTAATTCAGTCAGCATTCTTGATGCCCGGTAATTTTAATTAAATTTTCGCCCCTAAATTAGTTATAGCAATGACAGTGTCTTAATGCTGACGATTAATCTGTCTATTTTTCTTTCATGTCAGAAGGTTGTTTCTGCTATGAAACAGTAAATATCTGCCTCCAATATGAGCAAATCCAAAATAATCAGGATTTAAAGTACTGATCTTGCAGTCCAAAATGAAAACTTATGGCTTTTGAGTGGAGATGCGAAGTATATCAGTCTATGACAATAGATCCTCAAAGTTACAAGTCCCCAATCAGTCAATTTATAGTTTTTATGCAATTACTTGCAATCACCAAGTATCAAACCCAGTAAAATATTCTAGCAACGTACATTAATAACACTGCTTTTCTTCATGCTGCCTTGTACGTTTCTTTAATTCTCTCGCCCTAACTTTACCTCTCTTTTAATATTCCGGTGAGCTGATGGCCAGTGGAAACAAACGATGAGTAAAATGTCAAAAGGCATCTTCTAAGAAACGTCTCTCCTTTTAGTCCTGGCTAATCCTCTTTATCGTTCCCCCTCCAACTTCAGAATCTTTGGATCTGAGATCATTCGCTAAAATGAAAAATTATAATCTCTTATCCGGGTAAAGTTGGCATTTTCTCAGAAATCACTACCTTTGGGTTCTTCAAAATTTATATTTTCTTCGTCCTGTTACATTCGAAGGGAGCTCCTTGATTCAAGGGTTCCCTTTGGAAAGCAGAAACATAAAAAGGAGAGAATTTTGTGCCGTAAATTCTCAAGTTTGATGATACAGCCCTGTCAACTCTTGTACAGTGTTAGGCAGCTTATAATGGGTATTTTTTTTTAGTTCAGGTGGTCCCGGTCTGCACCCCCAATCCAGATAAAATATTCGAATCTTGCCAGTGGCAATTACTGTGTTTCTAAAAGTCAATGGAATAAACAATTTTGGCCTTAATTATCTTCCATCATCCATGAGGGACTCAGGTTTAATTTGTCATTTTCACCATTTCCAATAGAAGGTAACAAAGGTGAATTTCAGAGTAATTGTATCTGGGCATATGTTGTGGATACCAACCTGCGGAGCAAGTGTACATGTGAGCACAGAAATGAACAGATGAACTCTTGAACTGGTAATTCCCAATTCTTACATGTACTTATAAAAGAACTGACTCAATAATGAACTTTCTATGTTTATCATTTAACGTAGCAACTCTCCTTGACTGTTCAACGCCTTTTTATGCCTCTCATTCTACAAGTTGCTAAATTATTTTTCCTCCCTTTTGAACAGTATGGAAGCATGTCCACCATTCCTTCTCCGCCTGCTGCTATGTTAACTTTCAATTCCTCACAAACATTGCCGGCTCAGAGCGGTCACTATCCGCCTTTCCTAGAAAGTACGCAGGTGAGTCGATTTAAATGTTCAATCTTTATTTCCTTTATTTTTTATGCTCAGCCCAAAGGATCACTTTGACTTAACTCTTTGAAACTAAGTAGCTCTTGACTTTTTCTGTAAAACCTATGTTTTGTGGGTAACTTTAGTATATGAATGAAAAGAGGGAACATCCTCCCAAGAACAAATTTTTAAAGAAGCATATCAAAGTTCAGTAGACTAGAAGCATTCTCTTAATACCTCATTTATTTTTATTTATTTATTTATTTATTTTTTTTTTTTTTTTTTTTTTTTTTTTTTTTTTTTTTTTTGTACGTCAGTATTTATTTGTAATTAGGTATGTTGGATAGATTGAATTTTGTATCAATTCTTTACACGTCATGGAACGCACAAAATAGCAGTTAAATGTACACAGCCCCAATAAAACTCTAATGGAAGATGATTTTAGAATTGGAACCCAACTTAGCATCCCACAATGGATACTCAATTATGCGAACTTTATCTTATGAGTTGATTGACAATTCTATTTTTGCCTTCAAATGGTGATTGCCAATTTTCATTACTTCAAGGTGATTTTTAGGGACTTGGTGGAACTTGTCTCTGATGAGCTTTGGCACCCCATAATTATTAAACTCATACTGCTGCTATGTCACGTCTGCACAGCTAAAAACAAAACCCTCCAATATATTTGTTTATACTTTCATTATAGTTACAAAGCAGCCAAGCCAGATCTCTGTATGGTCAGTTTGCATCCTACCCTGCTCTCGGGCAAGGCCTCGGCCAAATAAATCAGCAGTCAATGTACCTGCCAACTGCCCCTCAATTGCAGCCTACTACGCCTGAACTCTTCCAATCGTCACTATCTCAATACAGACTTCAGGTAAATACCTTACAGCATAAGGAAGAATCGGTAAAGTAAAGGAGGCGTAATCTCTTTCTATTGTGTTATGGAAACTTGGAAAACAGCCATGGCATCATTCCTCTCAGCTAATAACAAACCCATCTTGAACTCTCAAATATTCTAGAATTTCTCCTGATGAAACATGATTTTTCTGGAAAATGCCTAGATGAGTTTACATTGAAAGTTTTTGTGATCATTTTGCTCTCTAGCGTAGCACATCTCATGATTTAAAAAAAAAATACACCCAAGTTTTTTCAAAAGGAAGAATTTCATCGAGTAAAATGCAGCAACATTCTAATGCTCCAAGAGGGATGCAGAAATTTTTTTGTGATCTCAGCCCTAAACTGTTCTGTTCTTGCATAATTTCTTTATTCCCTTAAAAAAGTCAAGCATACGTATTTAGCCATAAAATTTGGTAAATCGATATGTTTTTCTGTTTATCGCCATTTTTTCTTGAAGAAAGAAATTAAAGATACTCCAACTCTCAAATAAATTAAAGTAAACGCCGATGCATTTTGGCACCCCCGGGTGCTTTCTTTAAGGCTGAATTTCAGCTTTGAAAATGGGATTAGGGAGTCCGGAAATGCGTCTATGCTTACGTTAAATTCATTTGTGAGTCAGAGTCTCCTAATTTTCTTATAATCTTTGTTTCATTTATTAGCTCACAGTCTTAGGACGTTTGCCTGTTTTTTTGGTGTCCTTTTCCTCACTTTCGTTCTCGTAAGTTTCTAATCACTTGATTACCAACAGGTACCAAGCATTAGATTTCTAAATCATCCGGCAGCAGCCTGATTGTTGAAATGTTTTGTTTGTCGGGACAACATGGATGACGTAGGTTAAAAGGCGGAGCGTGATTGGTCGGCTATGTCTTATCGCTGCTTTGTCATGCCTTTGTGAGGTGGAATAGACGACATACTGTCGGAAACTTAAGAGGTGCTGTTAGCTTGTCGTGAGTTCAACCCGACATAGGCACGACAAAGCAGCGATAAGACATAGCCGACCAATCACGCTCTGCCTTTTAACCTATGTCGTCCTGACAAACAAAAAATTTCAACTATCAGGCTGCTGAAGTTTTTCATTCGAACTTAAACTATGCAGCATCCATGTGATATTTCTTCCAGCAATGAAAGCATGTATTTCATGTATTAAGTATTTTCGTTTTCTTTTTTTCTGAGCAATGAAGCTCCTGATTCAATCTTGTATTTAAATAAAAAGAGAAAGCATTTGAATTGAAATTAACTTGTATCTGGTGTTGATGTTTTAGGCTTCGCAGTACAATCAATCTCCTCAGTTGAGCTCTAATCCAAGCACGGTTATCATATCAAGCACATCTAATTCACAAATGTCTGCTGGTGTGAAACCATCATCGCAACAGATTGGTGCAATCGGAACAAAGGCTGGCTATCAGACGTCAGCGCCACAACCGTCACAAATTTATGTTCCCTATGAACCCACTTTGAACCAAAGTTTCTTGCAAAATCCGTCACTGGTTCAAAGACCTGCTAGTAACGTTGCAGCCATGCTGCCGTCCTCAAGTTACTACTCTGGATCGACTGGTCAAACCAGCTTCTACCAAACAGGTAGCACTCCGATCCAAGCTCCGCCAACGGCTCCGTTGCATCAGACTGCTACCCCGTATAACATTACGGGCTACAGCACGCAGACGCCATCGGCGAATCAAGCTCTTGGTGCGATTCAGAACTATACTTCGCAGATGTTTCAACAGTACTCCGTATCAAGAGGACCTGTTCAAAACTCGCTGAAATCGCCTCCAAATATGGCAGATCCTGGGAAGCAATCATCTGTCACGCAACAGGATTTGATGAACTCAGTATTCTCGCCTGTGCAACAGATGTCCCCCAAGTTCCCGCGCAACCCATCAGGAAAAGTTACTAACACTCAACAAACGTTGCAACAGCAACAACAACAGCAGCAAACCCAGTCTCAGCCTTCTATGCAAAAGTATGCATATCAAAGCGTGACTCAAGCAAATCAACTGGTAAGTCAAACCTTTACATATCCCTTCTCGAGAAGTTAATTGTCAGAATGATTATCAAGACGTATGCCTTCGACTACGATCTTCAGACATGAAAGTACCCGCTTCTCAGAAAAATGTCTTCAGGGATAAATTGGAGAGCACAATTCTATTGATTGTCCTTCTCCAGTTCTTTTAAAAAATCATTCCCCATCCAGTTTAAGGTTTGAAACCCCTTGAAAATTATCTTCAGCATGACCTCTGAAAGATCAGCCCATGAATTTTCACTTTTCAGCACTTATACACAAACACTTTCATTACTTGTACAATTGTTCCTAGTTGCCAAGGCATGCATCAATTATTATTTTCAGAAATATTCTGAGGGTTAAATTAATTAGTGCTACTGTTCGCACTGAAAAAATTCTGTAGCAAATGATACCAAACCGTGCTTTTCTGCTCAGAAGACTTAATCATTTTTATTATTATAATTTTTTTGTCTCATATTTCTGCAATATTTTAATTTTATAATCACTTGACTCAGCTCACCTGCCAAATTACAATCTGTATTTGTTTTACAACCTCCAGTGGGAAAAAGTTCCTTGAAAAACCAAAAATTATCAGGATATATGTTCATTTCTTTTCCTTTTCCTGTTTTGGATAAGAGATTAGATTTAAAGTAAATTAGAGGGTTTTTTTCATCTTCTTTCTTTTTTTATTTTTATTTATTTTTTTTCATTTTCTCTTTTTGTAATTCTATGAGCAAACTGGGAGAGCCAACGTGAAACTATCTCAAATATTTTTTCCTCCGGCAGACTCAGTGACCTGATATTCAGTATATTTGATGGTTCTGTCCAGAACATAACAACTTTTCTTGTTTAGTTGAATACTTTCAAAAGTTTTGATGTGCCAAATGTAAAACGACTACCATGCCTGGTTGTAACTTGGCGTCAAAATTTGTTCCATCACTTACTATTATCTGCTCTATCTAATTTTTTAAAATCAAGTTAAATTTCTTAAAATCTCTCAAGCTTTCAATTTTTTTCCATCATTTTTATCAGCATAAACCTTAATTTAATATCATCAATAACATATTGTGAAGGAATTTGTAAAATTTTGTTTTATCTCTAATTTTTAAGCATGATAACAAGTTTTAGAATAAAATTTTAATTTTCTCAATTATTTTTTTTTTCTTTGTTCGGATTCTTCATAGTATTGAAATGAATTGAAATTTCTTAGATGAGCACATATTATGAAGTAAAATCAATTCATAAGAATGTCAGTTACAACATTTAATAGTATGAATTTTTAGACCGATCTAGATTTTTCAGAAAATTTTACTACCACATAGGTACAAAAATTGTATTCCTGAGAACCAGACAAGCAAATTTTTCTTACTCAAGCATCTCCCTTTTTGACCTGACCAGTTTTCTGTGAACAGATTCTACCTAGTAGAGATATTGCATAATTATCTAAATATTACATTGCATTTAAAAGAGAAAAATCCCAAAATTTATTTTTAAGTACTTGACACATACTTAAATGACTTTTGCGTAACTTTCTGACCAAGAGTAATTTCATTTTAATTTATTTTTTTAAGTTACATCATGAAATGTTCCTCACGTTGAGTGGATTAGTTTTTGAAATAACCTGAGAGTTCACACTCGTAATAAGAATAAAATCTACCGAGCGACTATTTTCTTTTGGTTGTAGCGGAAGTGCTTAAAGAATTCTGGAAGGACGAATGTCATTAATGAGGAAGTTTTGTTTCAGACTAAGTATACAACAAAAACAGAGCAAAAACAAAACAAAAAAAAGAAAAAAAAGAAAGGATGATAGGTTGAAGGATGAAAATTTAAATGGTGTCTCCAAATGAGCAAAAATGAATATGTACTGGCAAGCCTAGAGTAATTACCATTTGTGTGTTTTGAGTAATCCTTGGTAAATAGCCTGAACTTGATTTTGCAGATAGTTTATCATTTCAAGTCCTTCATATGCAGTAGTTGTTATTCCTTCGCTTGATCGGTTTTGTCTGTTGTTACATGCTGTGGCAGTAGAACATTTTTCATACCATCTTTTTATTTTGAAAGATTAAGAAGTAGGATAGAGTTTTTCTAGAAAGTCTTTCAACTGAATTGCATGAAGGCAGAAAAAAGGGTGATACATAGTGACTATACCATTAAATGTGTTGTTTTAATTCTAATAATAAATACATAAAAAACAAAAAATGGAAAAAAAAACAAGCAAGTCTTGTTGAAGTATGATACCTATTTCTTCGGATTCTTTCCTTGCAGGCCCTTATTTTTTTCTTCATTCTCAAAGATAGTAAACAATGTTTTGCGCAAGTACAAATTGTCTTCGGCTAAAGCACCATATTTCAGTGTTTGTCAGTGGACCCACAATCTCTTCCTATTTTGCCCTATTCCAAATTGGATCAACTATTATCTCATTTACTTCTTTAGAATTTAACCTTATGTTGATTGACTTACTGCGGAAAATGCTTCTCCTTCTTTAAGATGTCTATGGCATCCTATTTTCTGATACTGTTTTCTGAAATAGATTCTGGGTTTAGCTTCCGAAAGAACTTCTTCAGGAGCAAAAATTCATACACTTAGGCACAGTATCAAAGTGATCATATCCATCGACTCAGTATAACAGTGACAACTTATAACTGAAAGGAGTGACCAATGAATTCTAATATGATGCAATACTAGTCAGATAACATACCTCAAATCCAAGACGGCTTTTATGATAGGATCTTGTCTCTAAATTGTTCTGTCTCATGATGGAAGACCTTGAATTACATCAAACTTTTTCCGTTTTTGATTACTTATGGCACTTGAAATATTTTTAAACTGTTCTTGAATGTATGGGTTGGTCTATCTTCAATAACTGTTCATCCTCATTCATATCGTACTTTTTGTGCGTTAAGATGATGTTTTCTTCCTATGAAGAATTCACTTAATTAACTAGGTCAAAACTTTGCAATGCTGATTTCAAGGAAACCTCCAGACATTTCCAGTGTTCCATTGTAGCACTTTAAATGCATATTTGTGAATTAATCTCTTGAGCCTCATTGGGGTTGAACGAGCAGGTTTCGATTGATATTTAAGATTAATTTTAGGCCCTTTCCAATTTATCTTAAAACCATAGTCACTTTGTATCAGGGAAGAGGGTGTCTTAATTTGAATCTCATGTTGCTGTAATTGTCAATGGCGGAATTTCCTGTTCGTTTAAGTTCTAATTGTTATAACAATTTTGTTTTTATTATATCATCAAGTTTTCAAGAAACTTTCCAGATGAAATATCCTCATATTCATGTGATTCCCCAACTTAAGTGTTCTTAAATGCTATTGCTGTTTGCGGGTTGGTACTTGACCTCTCTGGGCATTAAGATTTCCCTACTCTTTCAGTGATTTGAATGCCAGAGCTCTTCAAATCACCAATTAAGGCCAAATATTTGATACTGAAATGATGGTAGGTGTTCATCAGGCTCATTGCTTCTTCCTCAGAGTTGGGTAGAGGTTATACTGTTTTGCTAAATTTTGGAATTTTTTTTTTTGGCTTAAAGGCCATTCAAATTATTGCAAAGGTTTCATGATGGTGTTGCTCTATGAATGAAATTTTTGGAACATACACAGTGAAAAACCTTTTCCCCTTGTCATGAATCAATGTTGAAACTTGTGATTTGAATCGTATTAATGATTTGAAACCTTATGTTGTTTCTAGCAAATGATTCAACAACAGCAACAAGCTGCTGTTGTGAATCAGCGAAATAGCTCTCAGATGAGTGGTAGCTTGCGGAATATGAGTGGAAACTCAACCCCGCAGCAATACCCTACTCCTATTGCGCGTCCTGTTCCATACCAACAGTCACGCTCTTCTCCGCGCCCTCCTCCCGTATCCATGATGAATAAAATTCAGTCTTCTTCAGCTCAGTATTACACAGTTCACTCATCTCAAGGTAATTATTTCTCTACATAAATTAGGACCTCAGAAATTTGCTCCTCTTTTGCTGCCTTTCGAGGTAGTTAACTCTTCTCTTTCTCTCTCTCTATTTGCCTGTACTCTCCTGCTGTCTTTTAACTCATATCGAACTCGTATCTTACGCCTCAGTAAATGAATGGCAGCCCTGAAGTCTGTAACTGTTCAATGAAAGCCATTACACTTTTGACTTCTGAAAGATTCCCTGGGCCTAGTTCTCAAACTCGGATAAATGTCCCTTGAGGAAGACCATTAAAGAATTCTCGGAGGAATCCATAAAAAATCTTATTCAAAAACCGTTAAATGGGCTTTATGCAGTAAGTTTCAGCACAATATGCCTCTCAGGTTGTGAATATTTTAATTTCAAAGGGTGCTGAATTAGCGTACCCTTATCTTAATCAATTATAGCGTGGTGTTTATATATTCCTCTTTAATGCTGCTTTGTACGAAAACAAAGCCTTCAAGTTCACTCTTGTAAGCTGCTGCCTACCCACCACAAAATGGATTAATTCTTTGAATGCTCATAAATTGTAAACCGTTGGACATGCCCAATAAAAAGCATATTCCTGTTTTAAAGACATCAATGTAGTGATGGAATACCGTAATTTAAATGTGCAATATTTCATAAAAAATTGTGACAGCTTACGACAGCAACCTGGCTTTCCCCTGGAGTTTTATTTAGGGCCCTCCTCCTTGCCCAAAAATGCTTAACTTCCAGTATTTATTTTTTCCCCTTTCACTCATTTTTGAGCCAATCTTTTCTAGTATACCACTATAAGTAGTCGTTCTTTTCCTCAGCAGTATCCTTTTTGTAGTATTTGATGGTTTCATCTTTCAGTTTTTCTGGCTCCTTATTTCAAACGCTTGTCTCTTTTTATTTGATCTTGATACTCTCTCAGTGGAACAAGTTGGCTGTTGATTGTCTTGTATATATTCCGCGTGGTCCTTTGTGACGAAAGCTTTCTTTTAATTAGTCTCAGATTTTGAACGTTTTATGAAACTGTAACAATCAAAGACTGTTTTACAAAGCTTTTTGCCTTTTCCTTGATTTTTTTTTTAATATTGGCTTTCTAGTGAGCCCAAAAATCTAAGGAATTCGTTGATAGGAATAGCTATGAAATAAACAGGGTATCAGAAGAGAAATGCAGATTACTTAGAATTTTGTCTCTCTTTTAAAATGACTGCCAAAAGTTTGAAGTTCTGGCTGGCCCAATGGCTCTACCGCCAAGTTCAATTCTTATTTCTGTGTGGAACATTCCAGGCAAATTCAGGAAATCTGAAATTTAACAGAATTTGATGAACTCTTTGAGTTAGTAACGACCAGCATATAATACCGTCAAGTTAAGTATCATCAGCCGTGCACATGGATTTTTGAATTTCAAAACTTCAGAAATGTCACCAACTTCTTGTGAATGACCATTCCATAGTGTCAGTATTTTTTCATTCCTAATTAAGTTTTCATTTAGAGGTTACTAAGTATGTATTTTCTCTGTTTCTTTGTTAAAGGAGGTAGTGGAGTAAAAATGGAAAATTCTGGCTTGGAGAATAAATCAGATGGATCATCGAATGAGATGAAAATGACGGAAAGCTCGCAGCAAGCAGCTTCCGATGGGCCAAAAGAAGAAAGTGTTGTAGCTGCCAATGAGTAGTGGAATCAGTTTTAATTATGATGCTGATCTTCCTGCTTGCTTCAAGTATTATTGTCTCTTGAGTTTTCTGGAGTAATCCAAACGTGGCTATTTTTACTCCCGATTAAATTTCAATGAGAGTTACTTTGAAAGTGAATTTATAGCTGCAGAACATTTTATTAAAATTGTCTATGGATGAATTTTAATCATTATTTAAATTAGATTTGGGAGTGCATAGTTAGTTTGAAATATGTTACACACAAAATTCAAACTTATTTATTAGGCAAAAATTATTGAATATTCTTATTGTTTCAAGTATGTTTTTAATGGGCTTGTTCTAATAGAAGCACCCGTTGAATGATTTTTCGTATCCTCACTGAAAGAAGTGACGAACGACTTCAGAACACAACCTACTATTTACTGGTCCTAATAGTTGGCATCAACCATCAAAATTGGGAAGAAAAAGAGGTTGATAAACTTGATTATGTTCCGATCTGAAACTTTAAACCTGTAAATCGATATATATAGTGGTTATGAACATTGAAACAGTTAGTTTGTATAAAAAATTTGTAACGCTGCTGTTTTTTCTAATTTTTTAATTCATCTTTTCTAAATGTATTATTTCTATTATTTATTATTTTATTTATTTTTTTGTTATTTTTCCGCTCTTTGTTTTTATCCCTTCGCAAAGTTCGAAATCAATTATTTATCTCTCAGTGTCTATCAAGTCGTAGTTTTCTCGCATTTACTTTGTTATCGATTTATTACTAATACAACATAATGAAGCACTTGATTTTAATGAGACTGATCCTGCTTCCTTTTTTTCACCGAAATGAAATCTATCCAATATTTTGTTCCATTTATTATTTCATTTTTCTCTCCTCTTATCTCCCTTTTCCAGTTGTCTCCACTTTTATATCTATGAAATTTTTATTAATTTTGGACCACAACCTAGTAAGAAAAATAAAAGGGGGATAAATACTAAGTTGTAACATTTGTTGAATCCTTTTTTAAATTAAATATAATTTTTAGGAAGTCTACTTGAATGTTGTGTGTGATAAAATTGTAGGTATATTTATTTATTTCTTTTATTTATTCAGAATTTTTTCTCCTTCAATGTTTACTTGTAGGTATCTGTGCAAATCTTTTTATCTTGAAGAGAAACTTGACAATTTTTAGGAATAAATATAAATATACACACTATCTTGTTGCTATTTTTTTCCCTTTGATTCTCTCTATCTTAGTCAAATCGCACTTGCTGCTCCGAAGCACATGATAGGCTCTATTTTCTCCCTTCTGCCGTATCCTTTTGTGTGCAATTTATTTTTACTGTTTCATGCCCCTTTTTTTCTTCTTTTTTTATTTATTTATTTGCTCAGCAAGTTATGCGTTCTATCAGTCTACTATACTAGAATACTAGACCATATGTCTCCCCAATATTTAATCATCTATCCCTTGATATAATTTCTTAGTCCAGGCGGTCAGGACTTCTCTTCTTTTGGTGTATTTTCACTCTTGCTCACTTCTCGCTGTTCCGTGTAACGTTTTGATGTAGAAGTTGTTGTCTTGGTACCGTTTTTGAATTGACCATTATCACCCTTTTAATCTTTACCCCATATTAAGTATCAATATGAATCAAAGTTGAAATTGAATTGAGCCAAAAATGTCTTCATCGGTTGAATGCATTTAATGCTTTGTTTTCAGCGCATATCATTGAGTTTTATATTTCTGTCATTGAGACAAGCAACTAATATTTTAAATGCATAAATCTAACCAAATGATATTGCAATTCCTGTTTTGTATTTTTCTTAAAAAATGGCTCAAAGAGAATGTACCACCTAATTTAGTATTGTAAATTGGTGATTTTAGGCTTTATTTTAAACTCTCACTGTGATTTTCAGTTTATTAAATTATACTGATCAGTTGATACAAACTAAAATGGAAGTCTTGTCACTGACTGAACAAATGATTTAAAATCCTCTCGTTAATATTCTGAAGTTTTGTCAATTTTTATTAGTATTTTGTTTACAGATTAGTATTGTTAATATCAATTTAGGCATTAAAACAGTTTTATCTGATAGTTGGCTCTGGCGTTTTTTTTTTTATTTATTTATTTCAAGTGCCGTTTTTTCAACAGCACAAATAATTTTAAATACCTCTGTTAATGATCTACTTAATTTAAAGTTATCATTCAGCTTAAGATGTCTGCAAGTGAGCAACATTTATCATCTAGCTCTAGACCTTCACTCACTGATTATTAATTTATTTCAAATCAGTGAGTTGAACTATTGAATCATTCAATTGACCTTAGATCCACTACGATGGCTGAAGTCAAAAAAGTGGATCCTCACGGCAACGTTTTTTCAATTTTTCTAAAGGAAACTGACCGAACTAGTTCTGTTAAATTCTGTACAAATTTTTGAATGAGAGGAGAAAATTGAAAAACAAATTTAAGAAGGATATTTAAATAGATCTCCTCAATTAAAATGAAAGTTAAAAAGATCTCCTTAATAAAAAAGAAACGAAAATTTGCAACAGTGCAATCGGAGGTAGCCTCTTAGACTTCAGCCATTTATTAGCTGTTTCGCAGTAATGGTTAAATGATCATTTTCAACTTCAAATAGCATTATTATGCTGCATTGATAATCTACAAAACAATAATAGCTAACAATGAGCAATTAATTGATTAATTTTCTTAATTAATTAATTAATTTAATTAATTTTCTTAACTTTTAATTAATTAATTAATTAATTTTCTTAACTTTTGCGATGCTTAAATTCAACTGGCATTTCTATACATTTTCCCAAGAGCCTTGACCGATCAGAGGTAGGCCAATATATTATGGGATTCATTTTGGGCTTTCAGTTTTCTGTAGTAATTTGCATATGCATTGTAAGGGTTGTTCTAAATTTGATCAAGAAATCTTAAAATTCTGAAAGGATAGCCCAGAACTTCAGACAAGGGTCCACACCAGAAACCGCAGATGTTCCTTAATTAATTTAATTGGATTCCTTTGAGATCAATTAATCCTCGTGAAACCCCCCGGGCCTCCAACTACCTACTTGTTGCGAAGAATAATTCAAAATATTTCTTTCGGAAAATACACTTCTTTTTTTATGTTATTCGAAGGGCTCAGAGGACAAGGCTCATAAGTGCAGTTTCTGCTATTTCGAGAAATATGTGTTTGAAGTTTCAGATTTGCACAGATCCTTATGGTGGGAAGAAAGTTTAAACTGACTTTTTGATGCTTATAAAGATTGTAATTATGGATTGAATTTCTCACAGAATATGGATCAAGACTAGTTCCATTTGAAATCATTAATACCTCCACTTTCTCAAAAACTGCACTCATACGCCTTGTCCACCAAGCCCCTTATTTCAGGAATATTATCCCATTTCGGGTACTGCAACTTTGTTCGAGCGCTGTTACTTAGAGGAGCAAGAACAAGAAATAAGAAAAATATGGAGGGAGGCTATTGAAGGTCAAGGAAGGTATGTAGGGTAAAATACTCTTTCAAAAAGTGAAAGGGAAAACACTCTCTCAAAGGAATGATGGGGAAAATATTCCTTCGAAGGGATTCGAGGTAGAACTTAGTTTTGAACTCCCGCCAGGCCCTATCTGATATGTCCACTGCTACCAATTGTTAAAAAAAAACCCTAAAATAGCACCGTACATATTTGTTTTAGTGGGATCGTATTGGATTACAAACTATTATGATAAATTATCATTAATCATTTTCAAATTTTTTGATGAGATTTAAGAGAAAAGTACTCTCTTTTGGCTCAACAATCTCTGCTAACGATAGTGACTTCAATTTTCTAAAGTTGTCAAACTTTAAGCTAAGGGCTAACATTTGGAGGTTAAGAAAAATTTTTAGTCTAGTTTGTTTACCATTACTATTACAGTCACCGATTAGTTGGTAATGCCAGTGGAATTGATTATTCTTGAAACAGAAGTGGATTAATATTTTACAAAAGGAGCACTAAGTGTCTTAAAGAAATGTAAAAGCTTTTCCGTCTCAGTGGCTCGCCTAGGTGTATTATTACTTACAGCATCAGAAGATGGGTTCTTCAATGCAAGACTGCAGCCAAGCAGACATAGTGTTCCTCATAGAGGCCACTGCAATGAATGGGGCATATATAAATGATTTAAAATCAAATTATGTCGTTCCAACTTTAGAGTAAGTTTTGATGCTTTGCATTTTTACCTTAAGGTGAATCCTCAGCTGTAGTTCCGAAAAAATCTACAACGTCGTGCTGCTAAAATCCGGCTCCGAAATCAGCGATTATTTAAATATCACAGTAGATACAATAAATTCTAAGACTCATAAGTTCCAGCAGCATACGTCTGGCATGCCTAGAAACAAACGCGAGCTTTGAAACTTTAATAATAAAAGCTATAACTTGATCCCAGTCTCTCTTATGGGACATCGGTAAGTGCGAGAGAGAAAGCTCACGGTAGGAGAGAGACATCTGAAACTGCTGAAAGCTATCACTCACGATTTTTTGCATCAAGGTCATTATGCTTAACTCTACTTTTTTCTGAAATCAAGTTTCAGAGCTTCAGAAATTGCTTTTCACGTCTTTTTTAGTGTCAATAGGTAGAAGAATGTTATAGCTAGAACTTATGACTCTTCGATTTTAACAGAAATTTCTGTAACTTTCATCAAAGCTCAAGGATTCACGTGGAGCTGTATGGACTCTATTAGCGTGGACCAAAAAGTCAAAACACAGCGGTGCCGCTCTCTGCGCGGAATAATTTCTCACCATGCACTGCTGTAGATTCACCTTAATAAGTAAGAATAACTGTCCAGAACTTTGGAAGATTAATTTTTACTTAAGGAGACGGCTCCTGTGTAGAATCCATCACAGACTGGAATTTTGTAAAAGATAGAAATATATTGTCGAAGTAAACCTAGCCTAAACTGTTCAGTACGTAGGTTCTTTTCCTCAATGGCTTTAAGGACCTCCAAAGATTGTCAAGCCTCAGGAAAAGAGGACAGTGTATATTTGCAGCAAAATCTGTCCATATAGGTCATTCATTCCCAGAACCAAAATGACAATCTTTTGTGCATGACGTTAGTATTACTGCCGCGAAAGCTAGGAAGCTGGGAATTAATGCTTTTCTTATGGGGAGAGGCTAATTTTTTATTGATGAATCATTCAAATTTCTTACTTTTAAACTGTTTGAAGCTGTTTGAAAGGAAAAAAAAAAACGTTTAGACACCGTCAGCTTTTGGAGTTTTGATTTGGTCGAATTTACATTTCTATATTTTTAAATTATTTTTGAAGTCAGCATTGTACCAGCCATTTTGTTGTATAGATTCGGCGTCTAAAAATGGCTGATGCGCTGATGCACTGTAAAAATGAAAAAGCACGAATTCAGCAAAATCGAAACCCTGAATGTCACTTAATGTCTAAATGTTCCTTTCAACACTTAGAAAGTTCCAAAGCATTTAAAAGTAAGAAATTTAAATGATTCATTAATAAAAATGAGTATTCTCTCATGAGAAAAGCATTGTTTCTGACATTTCTGGTTTTCGCGGCAGTAATACTGACTTTACAATCCAATGGACAGGGGCGACCCGGAGCGGGGAAATCTGCGCAATGACTGACTTACATGGATAGATCTTGAACTGCAGGAACATGTGTCTCATCTGCAGCGTTCCAAAATCTCTGCTCCCACTTTTGTCTATTTAAGGAGAACAAACAAAAGCCATTGCTTGAAATTCACATTAATCATTCTTCGCACCAAGAAGAAAAATTAGGGAAGTTTTCAAAAAATGTGGTTGAGTACTTTTTTATTTTAAAAAAGTGGCTATCGCTATTCGTCTATACATATACTGTACTTACCTAACTAAGATTTTTTTTTTTTTTTTTTTTTTTTTTTTTTTTTTTTTAACAAAAAACCATTACATGATCATTTGGTGAGTTTTTTCCATTCTCATCTAATTTACCTTTGATTATTTTTTGCGCAGGTATTTCAGTCAAGGTCCCATAGAAGACAAAGAGTACTTTGAGGTAAAGTAATTTTATAAAATTCTGTGCATGTCAATATTCATTTTTCTTAATTATGTTACAACCAAAACCTAAAAATCTACTCAGCCCTGCAAAATAATTTATTCCCTTCTTAACCTTTACAAGGAAACTGTGATCTTTTATTCCTTTCATGGATACTATTTCTCATGTTTTTTTTCATTTTGAATTTTATTTCAAGCTATTCAGCTATCAAAATTACTAAATATTTAATTATATGAATGATAATACTTTCTAAAAACAATTTTTTTTTGGATACTATGTCAGTAGATGTATCTGTAAATAGATGTTCGTCTTGGTTTCAGTGGCACCTAGGTCTAATAATTTTGGTTTTTATGGGGGTGTAGAAAGATCATAGCCTGCCCATCTTTCAAACTGCATTCCCAAATTTAAGAACCTCTTTCTATCCAAAATTTTCAATTTTGTGACCCTCTGTTGTCTTTTATTTACAAATGGCTGCAATTTTGAGAAAAATTTATGAATGTCATCACATTCTTAGACGAAATACTCGATTTAAAGGCTTACCCAATTTTTGCAGTCTTCTCAATTATTCATGAGAGAGGCGTGCAATCATAAAGTTTCTGCACCCCTGCAGGGCGATTATTGAAATGATATCGACTCTATGTCGCCGCTTTGTCATGTTGCGCTCAGTTGATGGCGCGACACGACAAAGCGGCGACATAGAGTCGATATCATTTCAATAATTGCCCCGCAGGCCTGATTATTTCAAGCTAAGAGTTTTTGTAATTTGGTACCTATAACCTATTACCATCAAAAAATAGGCATCATTCATAAAGGTGAAAATGTTCCTTGCAGATCAAATGAAATGCAGGAAATTTTTTCTTCCCAAATTTTTTCAGTACCTTTATGAGAGGGAGCTTCCAATGTCATCTTTTTTTTAGTATTCTCGAATATTGACTCTCATGGGGGTGAATTTCTGTAAATTACGAAACATAGGAATAAATGACTAAAAATCTGAAGTAAAACTCAATAATTAAAAGCTGCTATTTTCCAAATTTTTTGAAGTCTCTCTAAGTAAAGACAATCAGTGACCAGCATTCCTGAAGATGAGATTGGATTTGTCAGGAATTTACATGGATTATCCACTGCTAATTCTGCTGTGAGATAACTCAAGTATCCATTCGAGGGAAAAGATTTCAGATCAAGATGGTCTCTTTTACTCTTTTTTGAAGCGACTCCCTGAAAGTTTGTCTCTATCCTCTTTCAGAGCACAAATGCCCTTTACGGATTGGTGACCTACAGATCATCAGATTGTCTATTACAGCCAAGTAGTAAATGCTATGGACCGTATACCAATCCTCACCGTTTCCTCCATATGTTTGAAAATGTTTCGTAAGTAAATGTTTCAATCCAAAGTTCTTACTTATCATTTTATTTAGATGGAAAAAAACTTATCATAGTACTTAGATTTGCACCTTGTATAGTGGTTCATTTTCTCCAGCTTTCTGTAGATAAAAATTGGTTGGTTCAGTCTCTTTTTCATGATTTTCACATGAGCTGTCCAGGCAAGTTTTTCGTTGACATTTCCACGGTCTGGAAATACTGGGGAAACCAGGAAATGTCAGGGAAAATGATGAAAGAGTCGGAGAAAAATTGTCAAGTCACCTTTATTTGCTTTCTAGAATGGGTTTGACGTTTCAAAATATAAGAATTTGCCTGATAATTATTTTTGCAACCTTATTTGTCATGCACCATTTTATAAAAAGTTTAAAAGTACAAAATAGTTTTTCCAGTATATTGTTTTCTTTTATTATGAAGTTTTGAATATCAAGAAAGATAATGAGCGAAGGACTGCTCCCTGCAGAGTTTTGCATATGGTTTGTTAAGTTTGGTTGTTTGTTTTTTTGTGACCAAAGTACAGCGCTCAGTTTTAACTAATATTCTGATCTTCCAGTCAAAAAATGTCAGGTGGTCGGGGAGAATCACATGCTCATATTGCTGAAGGATTCGCAACTGCGCTTCAATATTTTGAGGATTTAGTACAAAAAAGGGAAACTGGCGCGACTCCTCAAAAACACTGTATTCTCATCTGCAATTCTCCACCTTATTCGATGCCTGTCATGGAATCTCACACTTATTCTGGACACACTGCTGAAAACCTAGCCTCAGAATTAGTCCAAGTAAGTTTGCATATGTTTGCTTGTCCTACGCATCAGTTTATTCATTTGCTAACCAAGCGACTTATGTTTTAATAGTAATTAAGAGACCCACATAGTTGCAGCTCACCAACTACATGATGAAAAAATATGCAGGATAAACATTGAGTTCATTCCAAACAGGGTGTTAAAAAAGTCCTGATGATCATGTTCTTTGCATGAATGAGCATGCAGTTAAGTCTTCAACTAGAAGGGCCTGGTCCGGATAAAAGTTCCCTCTGATTAACCAATCCCTCCTTTTTGATTAATTTTTCCCTGTCAGAAACAAACACCTAACCGCCTCGGCAATGTAAAATTAATTTGCTTCTTTTTTTACAGAGAGGAATACATCTATCTGTTGTCTCTCCACGCAAAATACCTGCCCTCTTTAAATTGTATGAAAAAGCTGGTGGCGATTTGCAAACATCACAAACAAAGAATTATGCCAAGGATCCTCGTCATTTAGTTCTTCTCAAAGGTTTTAGGTAAGCTAGGAAATTACTATGTGATTTTTACCACTCTTTTCCTCATAAAATGTATTTAATCCTGCTTTATGTTTTTATTTATTTATTTTTTCATGCAATGATTTTATTTTTATTATTTTCAAATAATTCATTGGGTGAGGAAGTCCTGCCCGCGTGTTTTTGGCAAAACCAGCTTTTCCTATGAAAGTGCTGAAAAATCAGCCTCTACTTTGGTGTGTATTTTGTATGTGGGTATACTCAGAAGGCTTTATTAGGAACCGAGGTCTTCCTAAAGTGCTACTCATAATAACTCATTCAATCTTGTTCCTTCATCAAGGTTTTTGGCAGTCTTCAAAATCTGGAATGTCAGGGAATGTACAGTAACCTGGAAAGGCCCAAATCTCAGTCTAGTTCAGTGGCGTGCTTTGCGATATATCAATTGATCTTCCATTTAAAGCTATGGAAAAGGATCGATAAACAGGGTGTTCATAACAAACATCTGAATGAATGATCCTTTACCATGGCCTCTTAAGGGGACTTATTGATAATCGATCATTCACGCTTCGCCACTGGTTTAGTTTTTATGATCTCGACGATCTTGGAAGCAAAAAAGTCAGGTGGCTGCGCTGCACTGATAATGGGTCCAATTAGACCCAAAACGCATCTGCAGTTGTCCATTTGACTGTTAGCGACTAGTTTTGCACCAAACAGCAGTTTTGAGTGGCATTCCAAAGAATTACAATACTTGACGTTCGGTTTTTCAAATCAAAGATACTTTAATATCCTTGCATGGTGTGTCCTAAAATTCTCCCATTGACTATATTATACAGTTGAAACTGTAAAATGATTTTTACTATCAATACATCATTTTTACTATCAATGCATTTTTTCTTTTGCAGTTTGAAGGAGCGACCTGTAAGTCCTTGCGGAGGAGCAGGAGTCAGCACTTTGGGAACTCCACATGCTGCATTACCATTACAGTCCATGCCAAGTCCATCGACAGCTAACATTGGGTCTCCAATGACGCCAAGCTCCACACAGCAAAATGTAGTCCCCCCACAAACCGCTGTTGTGCCTCCGTTCAGAGCTAGTCAACAGAATCCTCAGGTGAATGTTACTGCTGCTTTCAGTGTAATGTTTTCTCCCCTGTAATGTTAAATTTTTTTGTGACTTCTCATAATAGAAAAGTAGCATAGATTGAATTTTGCAAAAAGCGACTAACTTTTTTTTTCTTATTTTAAAAACTTTATAGATGCCGTTAATTTTCTATGTGGATACATTTTTTGCTAATGAGTTACGAAAAGTGGCCCTCCTTTGCGTAATGCAGTCCATTTATGAATCTTAGAGAAAAAAAGTAAGCCCAACGGTTTTTTCTCACTTGAGTGAATTTCTGATGAATGACATTCACAGCAGAAGTCCAATTATTGCAGGAAAAAATATTGTTCAAACCAAAATGGGTAGTAATTCACCTTAAGAAAGACTTTAAGCGGTGACCTTGACTGATCGTAGTAATCAGTAAGTCTCTACCAAAATTTTTTAATCCAATCAACCACAAAAGCTATGAAATATTATGGGTAGGGTGTGGGTTTTTTTTCGCCAGACTCTCAGTTTTGTGATAGTCATTTTATTTTCTATGTGCAACAACATGTGCATTGTGGTGCATTCTGAGCATGATTCTGGGAGGATTAAAAGTCTCGGTTGTTTTTTGTTGAACTTCAAAGGATATTAATCACTGCTTTCAGCACTTAGAATCCACTTTAATGTTCCTTCAATGTAAAATTCAATGAAATTATGTTAATTTTAGGCGATATCAATGAATCAGTCTCCGCTCCCCAACCAAGCGCAGATACCACAGTCTCAACCCCAGCAGCAGGTGCCACAACAGGCTCCTCAAATGGTACCTGGAATGGGTGGCCCACGGCCAGTGGGTATGATGCAGAACTTCAATCCTCCCTACATTCAACAAGGGGCTCGTCCAATGGGCCGATGGCCACCCATGATGGGCCCAGGGCCTCAACAGCGACCTCCAATGGTTTTCAACCCTCAGCAGTCTTCTCAGCAACAGCAGCAGCAACAAGGTTCGGCGCTTATTGCACAGCTCACACAACCACCCTCTTCTATGGCACCTCAGTTCCCGAGGATGGATAGTAAGTTTTTCTACTTTCATTTCTTAAAATTTGAATTATAATATTATAACAAATAAATATAATTAATATATTATATTTACATTATTTATATTTATTATAATTAATATATACTATTATATTTATTATTTAAATATCATATGGTCAATCAGAGGATGGAATATTTGTCGTCATGCAGCACGTAACAAAATTTGTTAGAAGCGAGCAAACAGCAGATCATCCTAAACACTGCCCTTTTAGTTGTTTTCTTAACTTAACAGAACTAAGGAATAGCAACTTCTAAAACAGAGTGCACTAAGATTTACTTGTCTTCTGAGTTTCAAAACTACAATTTATGTTCTCAAAATATCAATTTGAAGACAAAATAGTGCCCACAAGTCACGTAGTCCATATTTGCACTCGCAGATTTTCCAGACATATTTAGTTGTTAAAATTGTTCACAGTTTATTAATACTCCCGGTATGAGACAGCAATTTTGACAAACAGAGTGAATCTGTAAGGCAGTCTCAAATTCCCTCTCTAAAAGTCTTTAGTTTTTCTTGTAAGCATTATGTTACATGGTTATCAAGATTTACGCAAGTTTCATGCAGGGGATGGTCTCTCAGAATTTAAGAAGTTTTTGATTTATCAATGCTTGAATCATAAATAGTGGAATGTCATTGACTTGATGCAGAATGGTTAATGTCACTAACAATGTTCTAATTTTCTCACTCAACCTTTTAGATTCATCCATGATGAGTGGGAACATGAACCAAGGTGTGAACCAGCAACCAACCTTAAGAATGATGGTGCCGCAGCAAGCTGGGCCTGGCCCAGTACCTGGCATTGGCCCCGGTCCAGGTCCTCTTGTGGGTCCTGGCCCTCCAACTGGCATTGTCCAGCCACAGATTCAGCAAGGAATGCCTCCTAATCCTCAGCAGGTTAGCTTTGAAAGTAGACATATCTCAAAAGAGGCTCCCATCAATATGTCTTTAACTCATTAACTTCCATGCCAGCGCATAAAACCACCACTTATGTTTGGCTGGTTTTGTAGACATTGATTTCTGCGATGCATTATTTGTAGTCTCCTGCCTGAACAAGAAGTTACTCCAATCATCCTAGAAAGTGCGCCTTTCGCTGTGGGTGGGAGATATCTTTAATATTTATTGTTTCCGTATGCAAAGTTGCCTTGATTTTTATGTAAATCCAAGACATTGAACACACTAAGCATGAAATGTTTATGAAGTCAGCAGGAACGGTGGTGCTAGCAATTAAGAAGGGAATTGCCCCTGAAACAATGTTGTGTATGGATGCTTTTATTCTTCAGAAATGGAACCGATTTTTTCACTGATCGCAGGAACAAGAATCTGATATTGATATCCCTGTGCGAGCTGATGTTTTTTGAAATGGAAATCGTATGCGCTGTGATTCTTTGTCGATAAACATTGTGCAATGTCCCTCTTAGTGCTTTATCCCAATCCCTTCATTTTAGAAGTCATTTGGCCAACAACTTCTACAAATCATGAAGTTGTTTGATGCAAAAAGTGAGCATTAACAGAAATAATGACAGCTCTTATTTTGTAAACAAGACGTGTTATCAGTACCCCTTATTATGTGCTGTAATTTTATTTTTCAGGGAATTTCCTCCATATTTTCTGAAAAAATTGGAAGCTCTAGTCTCTCGGCTTTACATCAGACTTTTTCAATGAGAGCAACAGTAATAAACTGTCCCTTCGGCAGCACATCTCTTTACATGTAGTAATCATGTTTTATTTAATTGGAGGCCTCTGCTTCCTGTAAGATTATGAAACTTTTGTATGTTAGTATTTCGGGCTCTTCTCATCAATGAGTTACTGACGATTTTCGCTTGTAAACAACACTGTTTTTCTTCTATTCAAAGCCTTGATAGAACTCGCGTCAGGTAAGTTGGCAGTTGTTTACTCTCTGTTCGCCAGCAACTCCATTGCAGCCGTCCAATAGCAATTAAGGATTGACCGAATGCAACTACAGTGCTGTGCTACCATCGTGTGCTTATACCAAAAACCAATATCTTCCTTTAAGGAGATATTGCCTAATTTTTCTATCGCAGTTATAATCAGAAGTAAACAACTGCCGACTTATCTGATGCAAGCTCCAAATAATCAATTCTTGGTGGGCACTGAGCTGTTTTGAATGTTCCACGTGGGTTTGAATGAGCAAAGCTGGTAACAAGTTAAAGAGGTATGTCATATCAGAAGTTGTAACATTTTAGACTCACCTCAGCTGTATCTAAGCCTCTCTGGTATTTGTTTCAGAGTGGACGAGAAAGACATACAATTTGGCATGGAGTAGTTGAGTGGATAGAAAAACCGAAGATAGAACCTCAGAAAATAACTCGCAATGTGCCATGTACTGTATCAGCTAATAGCAAAGACGGTGAACCTGAATTGTAAGTGTCCTACTTCCTTTTTATTTTAATTTTTACAGTTTGATAAAAAAAAAAAAAAAAATCAGGCTTGCACAGCCCTAGAAGAAACCAAAAATTTACTCAAAGTTTACAAGTCAGTAGAGGTACACACCCTCAAAAAACCAAAAGTTTAACAATTAGGTAAATCCTTTCTCAATATGAAACTCAACTTGTGTTGGAGAGGAAACTTTTTAAACAGAACTGTGCAAAACCAGCGACAGATTAAAAATGACGTTTAATTTGAAGTACAAAAAAAATTGTTCAGGATTTATATAAAGTTGCTTTACAACGCACACTGGCGTTCTACGACACCCAAACGCCACATATGCCTGTCTTCCCAGAGGTTATCGGGCAACTGACACCGCAACATATCTTTGTCAACGCCCTGCCGCCAACCCTTTATGGGACGTCCCCATTGCCTCTTCCCAGGTGGTACCCAATCCAAAACTTGTTTGGGCAACCTTCCTCTGACATTCTTTGCACATGTCCATACTAGCACAACTGCCTGGACATGACCTTCAGAATTTAAAATGCAAAATCTTAATGAAAACTTTAAAAAATTTCCAAGCCTCTTTTTCCAAGCTTTCTTTCTGATTGCGTTTGGTTTATTTTTTCAAGGAAAGCGGACTCGTGGCCGCAGAAACTTGTTATGCAGCTTATGCCAAAACAGTTGATCGGAAATATCGGTGGATCTTGTTTGAAGAACTCTAAATCTGTATTATTCCACCCTCAACCATGCGAGGCTTTAGACTCCTTGACTAAAGTTATGAGCGGTGGATATGTAAGTAATTTTGTCTATTATCTAAACAGTTTAAATTCCATTATTTTATCCAGTCGCTTACAATTTGCATTGAAATTAAAAAGTTATCATGAATTTAAGAAAAGAATATCGATGGCTAAGGAACAATTCCACCTATCTGCAAAAATTATGATTTTGCTGGATGAAGAAAAAACTTTACCATCTTTGTAACTAGAGCAAAAGCCAATATACCATCAGAAGGAGAAGAAGAATTATTAGGTCAGATGTGCAATCTTTTCTGATTACGTTACAGCATCATTCAAGTACACCCATGCAGAATTGGGAAAATCTAAAAACATCAGCTCGCATATTTTATACTAAAGAATATGTGGCAAAGTTGGTAACTCATTTTTGCCAAAATTGTCAGTTAAGTGGCATTGTTCCTTAGTCCTTGATGTACAATTCAAAGTGGGTCAATTCACAAAGTGGAGATATCTTAAGAAATAGCTATATCATCTGTCCATAGGATTACTGTAAATTCTGATCATGACTCATAAAGCTTTCAACTCATGAAACATTGTAATTCATTCCTAATTATAATAATAACGTTTTTCTGTGCATAAATTCAAACTCTCTGCTCATAATTAAAACCATTGTCTGTTTGAGTGGAATCGTATACTAAATTTTACGGAAACAGTCTTTGCAGTTTGAAAGTAGGGCAGCCTTAATCTTGGCTCTTCGGGTCAGCTGTTACTCATTGATTACTTCTTGGATACAACAAAGGGAAATGGAGGAACAAGTAATGGGGTTTAGAAGCTTGCCAAAATCGTTGTAGTATGGGTTTTGATTCACATAGACACTTGTTTTTCTCATGAGCAGGAAATTCAAATTTTTTCATAACCAGTACCAAATAAAAACGTTAATACATCAGGAGTTAATTTCAATAATTTTCACTATGCAAATTGTGTTGTATGCCAAATTTTAAAATGGAAGCATTTGTCAAAATGCTTAAATTAGTACCCTGTTAAGTGGTCCAGAAACCTTAAAAAAGAACAACTTTTCATTTATAAAGCTGCGTACCTTACATCTGTACTAGTTCATCACATTACATTTATATTTCAGGCTGGTTGTGTTCATTTCACAAGTGTTCCCTCTCCCGCTGCTTGCGACATCAAAGTTCTCATTTTACTATACACAACAGAGAAGAGAGCATATCTTGGTTTCATCCCCAATGATCAAGCTGCTTTTGTGGACAGACTGAGGAAGGTTATTCAACAGCAGAAGACAGGTCAAGCCATAATGAGGGCTCAGGTAAACAGTTACTCGTCTAAAAAAAAGTCTTTAAGCCCCTCGGAAACAAACGTTATCATCATCCTTCAATAACTTATGTGTATGGCTAGATTTGATGTATTTCCACCTCTGTAAAATTTCCATTTAGCCGGGAACGAAAAAAAAAAAAAAAAAAAAAAAAAAAAAAAAAAAAAAAAAAAAAAATTGGCGGTAGTTTAACCTAAGTAGATGAATCTGCTCTGTAATTGACAATCCACAATCTATTGAATTTTATCTAAAAATATTTAAAAAACGCCAGGGAATTTGCACAAATTCGGCATGTCAGAGAAACTTATTTTGTAAGTGATTTTTGTGTCATGGAAATTGAAGAACACAAATTTTTCGGAAAATGTTTCGCAAATTTTACCCTTGCGGAGATTTCTTCAAAAATTTCTACGGATGTCCTTTGAATTTTAAAAATAAGGCAAAAATATCCCGCATAAGTTCAGGCAACATATATTTTGCTCTATTCATTACATTTTATTCGTAAAACATGAAAAAATTCTCACTTACATCCAATCGATGGAGTCTTGTTTGATAAGCCGTGCGGTGAGGACGCTCCGTAGTTNATTTATAAGTCATCATATTTGTAAAAAGAAGATAATTAACACTTTGTAAAAGGTGGTTGTATCATATTCTGAAAAATAAAAAAAAAAAAAAAAAAAACTTACATCCAATCAATTCAACCGTGTCAAAAAATTCGAAATGCTTTTTCTTTTTGTCAGGGAATTTGAAATTTTTTCCCAGTTTTTTTACCGCTTTTGTCATGAAAATCAGGGAAATATCAGGAACAAAAAAAAAATTTAAAAATTAATTATTAATTTAATTATTTGAAAATTGCTAGACACCCTGATAAACCACTCCTCCCTGCAAATCCTTATTTACTTAAATTATGGACCAAGTCGTCGTGGTCTTATCGTTTGATGACTCTTGCCCTCTCTTTGTTGCGATTTAGGGTGGGCAACCAGGGCCTGGTCCTTCACCAGGAAGCTTGGAACCTATGCCAGGTCAACAACCAGGAATGATGGGTCCGGGAATGATGAGACCTGGTCTCCCGGGACCAATGCAGCCTGGAATGATGGGCCCTCAGCAACCCCCCAACATGGGTATGTTCATATAGATTCCATGTATTTTTTAAACTTCTTGTACCTTGATGCCAAGTGTATGAACATGAGCAATTTATGCAACATTCCAAAAACAAGTTTTTAGTTTTACATTGCCTTTATTCACTGACTTTCAAAATTGTTTAATTTAAAATGCAAGCTAACTTGATTCCCTCTATCCATTAGTTTTTGTTTCAATTAGCTGTTTTACCATTAAAATGAATGCTCCTCATTTTCCTTGAAGTTTAATGAAGTGTTCGGCATAGGTTCTCCCTATTACCAGTGGAATCACCTTTGACTCTGCAATATTTAATTTTGAGGAACCACAAAACATACTTCAACATATCTGAATTGCACGGTTATCAAAAGTAAACTATTGAAGAAAATTAAATTTCTAACACGTTTATTAGGTTCTCAGCAACCAGAGAACACCATCCAAACATCAGTCAGGGCATCTGTTGGCCTGAACTGGCCGAAGTTTGATTTCTAATTTGAAATCGGTCGCAGACGTTGGGGAAAACCAAGATAAACGGAAAATATTGACAGTTACTTTGTTAAGTTTTCACCAACCAATCTCTTGCTTCCATTTTACAAATGATAAGTTCCCCTACTGAAACCATTTCTAAAATCATTTTGGTCATGAAATTCAGGAGATCCAATTGTAAGCCAAGCAGGAGGTATGATGAATCCTATCGGTGGTAACCAACAGTCTAATTCGAATTCTGTGATGTCTGCTGCACCGCCTCTATCCACAACTGCAACTAGCCAACAGCCTCCAACTAACACCATCTCCATGCAAGTAAGTTTAATTTGACACTTTCCTCATGATCTTTGTACTTTGTTCAATGACAATAAATTCTTCTGCATTCCTGTTCACTCGTATAAAAAGTTCCAGTGAGAATTAAAGGAAGAAAGTAGTTGTAAGTAGGGATGTGCGAATATTCGGAAATCACGAATATTCTCTTCAACTGACTCGCGCACTAACCGATATTTGCGAATATTTGCACTGTTAAGAATAACGAATTTCCGAGTGGCAATTGTTGCCTTTTTTCATCAGAGTGCCTAACTTTTTATATCCATGAATGCTATTTTTGATGATCTGACAGTTACTAAATATTCCCTCAGACTTATTGTCAGATACAATGTGATCTAAACGTTTGAATGTTGCCAAAATTCCTCTGATAGGCTATTTATTTTTCGGAAAATAAATAACTTTTTTCTCTGAAGTTTTCAGATATTCTAGATTAAATTGCAAGTTCAATTTTCCAAAAATATTCAAAAATTTCCAGAAAATTTACATTTTATGTAAAGACATTTGGCAAAGTTTGAATGTTCAAACTGCGTTTTTTCTCAGCATGACTGTATAATTTATTTGTCTAGTGCGAGAAGAGAAGCATCTGGACCATAAGATTTCTCGCTGGGCTGTAGTTTTGTCAGTATCATATCTGAATCAGTGCCTATAAAAAGAGGACTCCATTCTTTATCTTTAAGTATTTGTTGTTGAGCTTTACAGAGCTCAAATCATTAAATATTTTCTGAATTGCCTCTACTCTCTCAGGGAACTGGACCCCGTGGACCAGGCATGATGGGACAAAGACCTCCTTTTGGCAACCAAATGGAGGCAGCCAGGCAACAAAATTTGGCCAAGATTGAGCAGCTGAGACAAACACTAGAAGCTGCCCAGAGACAAGAGTTGCAATATGTAGAGGTAAAAGAAATCCAGCCATCCTCTGTTTCAGCAGTTGTAATTTTAAGCAGATAGTCCTCGCTACCAAAACCCCTCTTGTACTAGTTGTCCATGCATGTGTGCAAAGCATCGAAGTTATGCAAGTTTTAATTAAGAGTTGCATAGTGTGCTTCACAACCCAAGTATGTCCGTGATTTGCGTTTATCACTTATCTATTTCCCTAGAGAATCCCGTTTTTTGGAGGAAAATCTTGATTTACCGGAACATTGATGAGTTAAAGGAAAAAATTAAGTTCATTTTTGAAGTCAGCGCTGAAATTACACATGTTTCAATCATCATATCCTCAGTGTTAGTTTTTTTCCAGATTTGTGTCATTGTTTACTAGGGATGTTTATGCAAGATAGTTGTGTGAATGGTATTTTTTTTGTACGTATCTCTGTGCCTCAACTACAGCCTTGTATGTCAGCCTCAGTGGTGTTGTGGTCAAGGCAGTTCGTTGCCAACACTGACGTCCCGGGTTCAATCCCCGGAAGTGACTGATATTTGAGGACACTCAAATGTCAGTCATCGTGACCATGGTTAACTATGCCACTCCAATACCCTGACCCTCCGAGGTAACAGGGTAACAGGGTGCGAGAGGGAATAGTTACCCAGTAAGTAATCCGTCTGCATTGTTCGACTGGGTTGTGAAAAAATCGGTGATCACTCATAGTGTACGCGACTGCCAGCGCTACCTATCTGTGGAGTTTGCAACAACACAGTCCAACTCGGTGGAGGCATGGCCGTGCTCTGAAAATCCGTGCTCTGCAGCATCTGCCACAGTCTTTGATAAGACCTACTGTTGGCTATCAGACGACCGTTGAGCCTTGCGGGAATATAGAGAATACACAATGTGTCAATAGTACAAAATTAAGGAGCACGGTCCAACTTCAGGGTGCACGACAGCAGGGTTCCTGCTGGTTGCCTCGGCCCCTTGAGGGGGCCTCGCCTGTCAGCCCGGCCCTTACTTACTTACTTGCTTACTTACTTAACTACAGCTTTGTATGCAGTATTTCATTTTAGCTGAACCTTTTAGCTTCTCTACAGATTGTGATTGTCTTCTGACCCTAGCTCATGAAGATATTTTCCAAGAAGACTGTTTTCTTTTTACCTGCAGTTTTTGTGAGTGTTAAAGTTTGTACAATTTTCTCTGCCAATGTGTTCTGGAAGAATTAGAGCTATCAAGCCAGGAAGGTCACCGGTAACTCCTGCCAGAAAAGTTACAGAAGTGATCGCATATACAGTAAAGCACTGATCATCCGGTGCAATGTGGTGGAGGTCGGCGCTGGATAACAAAAATAACGGATATTCGAGACCACCAAGAAAGACCAAAAAAATGTCATTCAAGCTCGTTACCAAAAAGCACAACCTTGGCCAATTCTCTGTCGTATTTGTAAAACTGAGTTATTTAATTGAAAAATAAATTACAAAAAACCACCCATATCCTCAAGTTTTTTGCTAAACACAGGTTTCCATCGTGTCATATCTGGAAATGCCACATTTTAATCGAGAAAAAGCCGTGCCAGATAACCGAAGCACGGATAATCAGTGCTTTACTGTGCTAACTCTGTTGTTTTACCCAGCTGCAAACAGAACCACTTTGACTGGGGCTAAATAAAACAATTTTGGTGTTGAGGCTCCTCTTCAATGAAAGCTACCACAGATCTACCTGTCAATGAACTTGTCAATCATATATTAAGACAAGCACAAGAAGCAGTTAACAAGTTTGAATCTTTTTAGGTTTTAAGTTTTTTTAAGTGTCCAAGCTATTTATGCCCTCCTAGTTCACCTATCTTCTTATTGTCAGTAATGTGAAAAGCACCACTTGCTTAAATTTCTATTAATACCCATTTGTCATAGGAGATTTTCGAACGTGTAATATTATCAAGACAACGTCTATTTTTGTTCGTGTATAATCATCCTCTATTCATGAGCAACTCCTGTCCGTTTTCTCCTTATTCCTGGTATTTTTATTCACTTATTAATTTTTCAGATTATGAGTCACATGCCTCCTGTAAAACAAATTGAACAAAATTTGGAGCACGCTCAGTTGCAAGAAATGCAGTATAAAAGTCAACTTGAGGTATGCTGCATATTGCAATAAAAAAATTTCGTTAAGCGCTCCATTTCTTTTGGCGCAGCGGTGGTTTTTTTGCTCCCCAAGAAGGATTCTCTCAAATGACATTGCTTTTTTAAGTGTAACTTTAAAACATGTAAAGTACAAAGTGATTGGTAAAGGTTTGGTTAGGCGCCTCTATGTCTTTTCTCTTGGAATGAGCCCTCTTCATACAAGGAAAATGAGGTTCTTGATGTAGATGATTCGTTCAACTGTGAACTGTTCGTAATTAAACAAAATACTCTAGTCGGTTGTGTTGGGATGTGGATTCGGGATTCCGTGTAAAAATACTTGAACCTGAATCCGAATCAGCGAATCCTCCGAAATTTCAAAATTCGCATCATGAATCCCAAAGATTCCCGAAGGTTCTCGAATCGGGTCGAATATCGATATCGTCTTTCGATCTCAGGTGGGACCAAATTAGGTGTTAATAAATCTGACTTGAGATGAATATTCTTTCTTTGCTTCTTAAGTCATCATTCCTGTTGTCCTTCTCATTATGAGAAAAAATAAAATTGAAAAAAAAATTTTAAAAAAGTAGAGTTTCTGGAAACTGAAGAATTTGCGATGGATTTGAATTCAGATTTGAGGATTCGAAAGTTAAAATCTATGGATAAATTCGAATTCGGGTGACTTTAGGATTCAACCCAACACTACTAGTCAGAAGGATATTATGGATAGCTTTGACTACTAAGAACATACTCCTGGCAAGGTAAATCGGGAAATGAGTGAAATAAGTAATTTTGAACTGTCAAGTCTCGTATTGAATTTCTATTTTGAAACCTCCTTTCCACTGTATGAAGACGGTTTAAGGTGTGGTATCAATTGTTTTATTTAATACAGTGTTGTTTTGCAAAGAAGTTGGAATGAAGAACCAGAAGTATAGATAATGATTTTAATTCCAAATAGTTCTACAAGTAATATACATACATTTCCAAGAATTCGGAATCAGATTAAATAATTTATCTGTTCAGTGATGATTTCTCATGAAATTATAATTGTATATTTTGAAATTACTTGTTTACCTAGTATTGTTCATCTTTTGGTCTCTTGAGGTCTCTAATTTCTCATAAAGCAATAAAATATCTTCATCTCGTCAACCCTCTTTTAATTTGATAAAGAATTTCTCAGATGAGCAGTGTATAGAAAGCATTTGTAGACTGCAGTGTTGCAGAGTTAAAGTTTCTTGAATACCTTGCTGTAAAATCTTGCGATTCTGCATCACTTCATATCAGTGCTACTCGAGGTGCCAATCAAGTATCTAATCCAGGACAGTTCTCCTAATTTTCGGCTGTTGGGCAAAATTTTGCGGCATGGTATTAAAGGAGTGATGACTCTCATACAGTAGTGGTATTATTATTTTGTCCTATATTCTGGTTCTGATTACAGCCTCTTTATTTTGCGGAGATCAGGAAACAGAATAATAGGCAATCATTGATTATAGTATGAATTTGACAACAGCATCAATGTAGCTCAAATGATGCACAAAATTTTAATTTCCAATCAGGCAAATCCGATTTTCGAATCAGAGACTGAGATTGCTCTCTCTGAAAATTGTCCGATTCTCTTTCCTGAGCTCTTCGAAGGTGACTTAACCTTTTCTTAGATTCAACTATTGGCATGGAGTCTTTCGAATTTTTTAGGAGCAGCACAAACAGCAATTGCGGGTCCAACTTCAGCAGCAGATGCAACAGCAACAGGTCGGTATGGGTCCGCGCCCGCCACAGCAGCAAGGAGGCGGCCCTCAGCCTCCTCAACAGCAGCCTGGACCTGGTGGAGTACCACAGCAACCTGGACCAGTGAACCAGCAACGAATGATGCGTCCTCTACTATCAAACAACAGTCCTGGCTTACGACATCTATTGCAGCAAGTAAGGGAACGTCTATGATTTGTTCGATAATTTTGTTTTTTCAGTTCTGTATAATAGTCCATCAAATCAAGATTAGTGGTAGATACCCTCTGATTATAGGTAAGCATAGAGCAGTAGCAAGCCTTGCCCCGTTTTAAATTGTCCATGTTTCGAGGTGTACGCATTGAAATACAGACCAACTCTCCAGGGAGACTTGTCATGAATTTCCGAAAAACTTTGAATGTTTGATGCAAATTTTTTAAATTTCTAGTTAATTCTTGAGTTTCATTAATTGTTTATGGTAAATCCAAGAAATTTCAGACTTTAAAGAAACTAGGATGGCACCTTAAAGTTGACCCGTTGAGCATAATCAACACCATTTGTTCTGCATGTTGCAATTTGGAACTATAAATTCGAGCCCGGTTTAAAAACAATGTATTTCCCATTAGTTTCCCTATGCACACAAGTGTTTTTCCAGAAGAGCCCGATTTTATAGTTCCAAATTGCAAAATGCAGTCCATTTTATCTTGATTATCCAATGAATTGTGGCAGACACCTGAGCTAAAAATAAAACACGCCGGTAAATCAGAAATGCATAAAAATACATAGAGCCACTTAAAATATGTTTGAAAAAATAAAGAAAACGGAAAAAGATTAAGTAAAACAAGAAAAATAATGCGTAAATGTGTCTCATTGTTGCCTTAGGCAAGTGATGAGCAGCTAATCCAAGCATTCCTGTATGAAGTGTTAATTAAATAACAAGATACTCAAATTCAAGCTAAAAATACTTGTTATATAACAGCATAATGTACTTTCTTCCAGTATTGATTCTGCTTCATGATTATGATTTTAAGCAATGCTCTCTCGATGTTTCATTTCTTTGTTTTTCTTGTCACTTGCCACAAAGAAGTTTTTGCTAAATAAAATCTTATTTTTTCCGTTCATTTCAGCAGCAGCAACCTCAGTATCGCCAGCAAGTTATGGGGATGCAACCACCCATACAGCAAGGTATGGCACAGCAAAGACCACAGCAAATGCTACAGAACCCAGGACCTGGAGGACAGCAGCAACCTGGCGGTCAGCAATTTGATGAAGTCCCTAATTTTGATTTTCTTTCCTAATTTTATTGAAACATCCTGTATCTCTAACTCCCACCTGTTTACATCAGCAACATATTTTTCTGTGAAGAGTTTTGGGCTTCACCCAGTCTGGAAACGTTGGGATAGTGATGTTCTTCTCTGTTAACATTATTCTTTCAGCCATTGTTTAATCTCCATGTGAAAGATAAGTGACGAGGTCTTTTGGCTATACAGATGAAATGAAAGTGAACTAGAAAAATAGAGGAATCATGATTTTATGTACAAATGACAATTTTGAAGTTGAATAACTTCGTCAATCGTGGAGACTGTAAAAACAGAACATAGAATCCCCCAGGTAGACAAGAGCTCATTTTCCCTCCCTTTTAAAATGATGAAAGTATGTATTAGTAATGGGGGATTAATTAGAGATCTTAGTGTGTAGATGCACTCGATAAACAAACTTGGTAATGATTGCTGAATTTTGATTTTGATCCAACTCACACCTGTAGTTAAGAAACTTGAAGCCCTGCTAACATTTGGAAAATTTTGTTGTTTTTTTGCAAGACTTAAGTTTACAACAAAGCTATAGTTTTAAATCCACTTATGGATGCCTGCACCGCATTTGCATTAGGACTTTTCTGTTACTGGATATCTCTTTCTGTGCTCCATGTGTTTTTGGTAAATAGTAATGGTGGAATAGATTTTCCATGAAACTTTTAAAAGGGAAAGAAGAATTATTTGGCTTTGAATGAGAAAAAGAAACAATTATTTTGACCCAGAAGTCCCTGAGATCAGTATAATTCTTTTTTACTGAGGTTTCTGATCCAGGATTTTTATTTACATCTGTAAGAGTTTTAATACATTTTTCAAAGTTATTTATAATTTATACATTTTTTAATTTTCTCTAGCCCACAGGGGCTGGATATGGAACATGAATTATCATGGAGAATTAGTTTATTATTTTAGTTTAAAAAAGCATGTATCTTGGATGGATGAAAAATTCTACTTTTAAAATTGCTAGGTGTGATATATTGTTAGAAAATGAAAAGGCCCCTTTCTTAGACAGTGGTAGGCTGTAAAATCTTATTATTGTGGGCGACTTTGGTTTCAGAAGAACTCAAAAACAGTTAAAATGGCTAGACATTACTCATAGCTCCATCCAGCTACAAATTTCTGAAAGAAAATTGCTGCTGATAATCAATTCTTAACAGTATATTTTCGCCAGAGAAACAATGCCTGTGTGCAATTAGAAAAATTTTACGGTAAAGTGGCAGAATGTCTTCTCTGGCATTCTCAATGATGAGGAAATGTCACTTTACACTTGGCCTAGGATCTCATGAGGGCTGAAAAGATATTCTTTTGTTATTTTTCCTTATTGGCTATTCTGAATTCTTATTCTGAAAACTGTAATGTTTGGTGAAAATTAATAAACACAATATAGTGGAACCCTGCGCTATCTGAACCTGTCAACTTTTTGAAATGCTGAAAAATCGTATATTCTTTGAGTTATCAGAGACAAATTTTCTGCGCAACATGCAGAATCAGATCACTCTATCTACCCCCCATACAGAAAATGAGTGAGGATTTTTCTTTGAAATTTTTCCCAAAAGATTAGTTTTGATAGTTAAAAAGAACTATAAATGAATTTCATCTTGAACATGTCCAGTATTTTTGTAAGAAACAAAAATATTCAATCGAAAGTATGTATAACTAATTTACGTATTCTTTCACTTGTTTCTTGACTATTTCCATGTACTGGCAATTTTAGAGCACACATTGTTCACCTTTATAATGTTGAATGTTGGAGGTATTTTTTTTTTTCATTCGTTTTCAACTATTGTGTCAGCTATCTTGCAATTTCTTCTCTTACGAGCAGCATGTCATTTTTCTTCTAATGAAAAGTCCTTCAATCTAACTGAAGTTTGTAAATAAAAATTTTAAATTTCAGTAAATTTCAGCAATTTATCATTAACTTATTTTATCATTTTACTTTTACCTATATTGAATTAAACATGTTCTAAAGTCTCTTCTATTGTATTAATACTGTCTGTTTCCTTTCTGTAGATCAATTTTTGTTTTCTTTATCTGTGATAAATATATTTTGTACTTATTCTAAGTAGTTCATTTTTGTAATCATTCAGCTTTTCAAGCTGACGGCACACTCTTTCCTATTTTCCCGAAATTTGACTCCAATTTTAAGAGGTTCACTTGTACCTAACAATGAGATTTCTTAAAATAGCCACCAAAGGGATACATTACGGTGAATCCTCATTTATGGAGATAAGTAGATCTGAAGTGAAAGGAGAAGAATGCATATTGATGTTGAAAGTACCCAATCTCTATCTTAGTTAGTTGCATTGCAAATCTCCTGTCACATTTTACTTCTGCAAAACTGGCTTGATGATCGTTTTTGCACATAATTTTATTTGATTAGAAAAAATTGATTGAACTTCATTCATCTGTTCCTCATTGAATCGCTAAAAATTTCTTAAAAACAGGCGGGTAGTAAATATTCTCTGAAGAAATATGAGTGGAAATTATCATTGGTAGTTTAACAATCAAAATCTCAATTTCTGTGGTTCAAAATTTTTGCTCTCACTTAATTCCCCTCCCCCCCTAAAAAAAGAAAGACTATAATACTTTTACATGAAAATTTCAGAAAATATTTCCTGATAGTTTAATTTTAGAGAAAATGACACAAAATTTCACAAATAAGGTATCATCGCTTGGCTCGACTCCTGCTTAGATGAAACTTCAAAAGAAGTTTACAATATTGTAAACTGAGATAAAGGAATGTGTATGCTTTTTTCAATTTTATGACCTGTAGGTAAATAATGATGCCACCATGAAATTTGCCAATCATTTAAAAGTGTTCAAGGGAGGCTGGCCTACTACCTGTCTCCGTTGAAATTCAAAATAGAATCATTTAGTACATTAACATTATCTTTTCATACAATGCTGCAAAAACCGAATACATGCTTACAGATGCATGAAACATCCAGGACAGAAAATTTATGTGCCAAATACCATCATTATTGTGCCAGCAAATATTATTTGGTATTTTCTTGGTTCACTCGCAAGAATAGAATAATCTAGATAGAAGTAGTTGGAAAGAAATTTTTTCTAAAAATTTTAAACAATTCATGAAAGCACTAAATTTCAGTATATTTGTAACAATCTCAAATAAGTCCAAAAACGAAAAAAGAAAAACAGACGGATAAAAAAGCCATTAATTACTTTTGACAATATTAAAAATAAGTTAATAAACATGACAGTGCATAGAAAAATAAATCAGGTAATACCTTATGATTAAATTAATAGATGTTTTAAAAGGTAGGTACTTTCTTCACATTTAAGTAAAATGATGTGATTATAGATTGGTCAGCTCATCATTTTTACTTGCAGCTTCAATAAATAGTCAATTGTTTTACCTTCAGGTAAGTTTTTACTGACAAATTTTATAAATATTCTCACGGCAGTTTAAAAACCACCAACACAGATCTGAGGGTCTTCATAAAATTAACACTTTGGTACCTAAGTAACTCAATAGTGGGTACACAATTACACATCAATGAACTTTGTAAGAATGTAAAAACACCGCATAAAAAGAAATTTTAATTCCTAACTTTAATTCTGAAAAACATGCAGTCAGAAACAATCAGTGCACTAAGACAATGGCGAATGGCGAGAAATCTCTTCCTCTTTCTCGCATTGAGAGCAAAATTTAATGCAGGCATTACCGAAACATGTCAAATAAAGTCAATCATCAAAAAGACAGATTTCAATACACATATCTTTAAAAAAAGGAAGATGATTCAATATCATGCTAGCCAAAACCATGTGGTCTGCAAAATTTTATACCACACATGGTGATTTCTGCTAATCACCGGGCACAGGACACAATGAAAATCAAATGCAGAGTGAAATTAATTTAAACACATTTCTACAATGAAAGACAAAACCATGTGTCATTTCTTCAAGAAATTGGGAACATTCATGCCTGTTTTTGCCGAAGAAAATACTTAAATATTGAAAAAAGGAAAAAATATTACTTAGCTACTTCAGAATTGTAGAATGAAATCTGTAAAACCCTCTCTTAGTGGCTAAAGCATTCTATGCAAGCCCTGCTCCGATTGGCTAATGTAACAACTATCCAATACTTTGATAAAGAAGCCGGTGCTATCGGTTCTTGGGAGAATTAAGGCGAATTTTCGCTAGTGGATTTGGTCAACTTTTTCAACCAGATTGGCAGGATTGCAAAACAATAGGAGAAAAACGCGCTGCTGCAGTCAAAACCTACACTCAGCTATTTGATTAATTTTGGCCAATGTTTGTATCTATCCACTTGTCAACCCATCTCGGGACGCGGGTCAGGAATTTTGGATGAGGTCATCTTTGCTGCCGGCATGAAAACCAAATGTTGTAAGCACACCATCGCCCAAAGGCAATTTTGTTTTAATGTGACAGAGGTTCGTAGTAAGTTAAAGACTTCGACCAAATCCACTTGTGAAAATTCGTCTTCAAACTGTGTTGAAATTAAAATAAATCTACTGAAATCCTTCATTAAATTAAGTAAGTCCAACTAATATTACAATGGATGTTCAAAAATTATTGTGACCAGACCCTCAAATGAGTGAAAAAAGAAATACAAGAAAGATAATGTGAGCTGTACAAGCTTAAAGAGTGCTTCATTAGCTATCTAACACAACTTCGCTGTGCTTATTCAATCAAAAATTTGCTGAGTTCAGTGTAGTGATTTTCGGGCAACAAATTTGCGTGGGTAACCCCTGAGGTTTTTTCAGAATTTTTGTGTAGACCATGACACTGGCCCATTGACATTTCACTTCGGTAGAACTTATTGCTGGTGAACTTTGAATTTCCTCTCTTAAAAAAGGTGTAGAATTTTCCCGAGAAGTACTTAAACAAATTGTCTAAAAATTACTGGAGCTCAGTGAATATTTGATTTCATGAGCTCAAGGAGGACGCCTTGAAAAGTTAGCAAATGATTTTCAATCTTGTACAACCTGTAATTTGCTACCTTCATTTGTTCGCTTATATGAGGGTCAAAGACAAGACTTTTGGGACTTTTGATATCAAAAAATTTTCCTCCTCTCTATTTTTTTTTTTTTTTTCACATAAAGCAAAATCGATGAAAATTTTTTTTTGATAGAAGCCAAACTTTCGATGAAAATTTCTCAACGTGTAAAATCATTTGAATGGTAATTTTAACTGAAGAAAAATAATATTTAATTTATTTCTTTTTTTTTTTTTTGAAAAAAAAGAACAAAACATAAGGCAATTACCAAAAACACCTGTTGTCACAACTTGATTCAATGGATTCTTTGCAGATAAAAATCAAGAAGGTTCAAAATACTTGACAGTTTGACACACGACAACTCAGAGGCTTCACAATCGGGAGCTTTCAGTGGCTTTAAACAATGATTTTTAGTAAAAATATCTGTAGTAAAATGGTAAACTAGAGTGTAAAGTTTTGTACGAGAAAAATACAAAAAATGACAGAGCGTAAACAAATAAGTCTCTGCGAGAAAACTCATCAGTCATTCGGTGGATAAGTACTGCAGCAAAACAGCTGAATAAGAGCGCATACCCGTAGTCATTGCCCTCTGAATAGCTCAAGTAGCCAAGAGCTCCCAAACAAAGGGTTTGCGAAAAGATTTCCAACTCAGGTACAGAGTATGGTTTATGAACCCAGTATCTCAAAACGTGAAGACTAGGTATGGCAAGCAGAAACAGTATGAAAGACTGCCATGCTGGCTTCAACAGTAATGCTACTTGAACTGTCATTAGGGGTAGCGCCAAATTTGAGTTGACAAGTCTGATTCGGAGGTACACTGCCCGTATCATTTGCAGAAACCTGTAGTTGCTTTTATGCTGAGGGATAGCTGAAACAAAACCAAAAAAACACTGTTTTTAATTCACCTATTTTTATTCTTTATTATTGAGGGGCCTTGGAGGACAAGACCCTTAGTTACAGTTTTTGCTATTTTGAGAAATACCTAAATGGGAAATGCCGCCAAATGACGTCACTAAGCGGTGCATTTTCTCACTTGTAGGTAAATCTATTTTTAAACTATTTTCCACCTCAGAGAAAAATTATGAAAACTACTCCGAAATCAGCTCTTTAAGCACTCTCAAATGAAGCAATAAAAAAATGTCGTGCATATTCTCCATTGCATAGATCCTTATGGCGGACAGAAAGTTTAAACTGACTTTTCGATGCTTAAAAATTGGAATTTGGAAGCTAATTTTTCGCAGTATATGCATTGAGCCTAGTTTCACTAGAAATTATTAATATCTAATTTTTTCAAAAACGCACTTATGCACCTTGTCCTCCAAGCCCCTCTATTGTGGTATTCAGAGGGTTTTAATGAACTGCAATAAAAATCATGCCTAGCTGCAGTTAATGCATAGGTATGTAAGGAATCGTAACTTGATGGCCAAATTGCGAAACCACATATTTCCATTGCGGTGTCTCAGAACTTCTGTTTATATTATTTCAGAGAGAAACAAGCCGACTTTACTTAAAGCTAATCTCGGCATTTGGTGGCAACTGTCACTCTTGTTACTGTTAGTATACTACTCCGTCGGCATATCAAATAGCTGCTAAGCTTTGCAAAATGTAAACTTAGGATAATATGATTATCTAATACTAACTGATGACAGTTGATCACACCATATCACACTTACCATATCGGAACAATCCTATGACACCATGAGCTAGATGCAAGCAGTATGCACCTAGTGCATACTTGCCATGAACTCCGCTGTTTATTTTACTGAGGGCCCAACAAGAGGATCCTGTTAATACTAAATGTGCAAGTGCTGAGGCATATGAGTGTCCTGATAAGGTAGTCATGTCTGCTAAAGGAAAGTCACTTCAGACGATGAACTAGTGTGCGCAATAACACAACGTTAACTCCTTAGAGTGCTAATGTAAAGGTAAAGGTCATGAAAACCTTTAAAAAAATAGCACTGAACTTTTCACATGGTTAGCTTGCGCTTTTAACTTAGACAATAAAACTTCAATAAACAGATAACTCTTAACTTAAAAAATTAGTTGTGCGCGTTGTTTATTTACATTTATTATCAATTATAACCTCACTTTCTCTGAAACTAAAACGGTTATTGGTGAGGCTCGAGAGTTTACTCTGGTTTAATGGTGTGTTTTCGTTACTAGCCTTGTGGTTTGTTGACAAACTGAAATAATAATGAAAGCGTTATCGTTATCGAAAATCAGAACATTTTTCGCAATTTTGTGAATTTCATTTAAAATTTCTTGTGTGAAATGTAAGCTAATTGTTAAAAAACGTAATTCTTTATTTAGAAAGTTAATAGTGCCGTATGTAACTGTGAAAATGCCTGTCGATATTAACAGATTGACGGAAGGATGGCTCGAACTTGAGAGTGATCCTGGGTTGTTTACCTTGCTTTTAGAGGATTTTGGAGTGAAAGGAGTGCAAGTGGAAGAAATTTATGATCTCCAAAAACCTATTGATGGCCCCGTCTATGGATTCATTTTCCTGTTCCGGTGGATAGAGGAGCGGCGATCCCGTCGCAAGGTTATCGACCAAAGCGATCTTTTTGTCAAGGACGAAGAAGTTGTCAACAACATTTTTTTCGCTCAACAAATGGTTCCAAACAGTTGTGCTACCCACTCTCTCTTGTCAGTATTGTTGAATTGCCCAAATATTCATTTAGGTGAAACCCTTAGTCGGCTAAAAGCTCACACATCTGGAATGTGCCCGGAAAATAAAGGATGGGCTATCGGTAACACTCCAGAACTTGCGAAAGCACACAACTCTCATGCCATGCCTCAAGCAAAGCGACGGTTAGACAAATCTAGCAACACAGTCAGCACTGGAAGGTAACATAATTCATTTAGTTTTCTGCCACGTAACTGAAATATTTTATATCAAGCCATTCAAGTAGACTTGTAACTTATCCTGAACTTGAATCAAAGGTATATCTGATCAATCTAGAGGTTTTTCAAATTGATTTGCGAGTTTCATTATAAAAGACCTATACCTGGAAAGGGCATGGATGATGCTTGGAAGTATGCGATTAAGTAGTTCAGCAATCATTTGATCAGCTGTTGCTACTGTGTACTTACCATAAATTACGAATCGCTAATTCTAACTTTTCGACACCCGTCCACCCCTTACATTGCGTTCATAACACTTATTCAGATACTTCTTAAGTAAGATTTTAACATTTGCCTCAACAACCCCTCTCCCTTGCCGGAAAAACTCACAACAAGCCTACGTGAGTGTACGGTCTGCTCAATATTACAAACATATACTCTTAAAAAGGGTGGTTTCAACTGTATTTTTTTGTACTATGTGCCTGGCAATTGCTTTATAAAGTGCCACTCTTCAGTCAACATTTAGTCAGATTATTGAATTAGGGGAGTTCCATATTTTTTTCATTTTTCTTTCCAAAATAGGAGGAGAAGATGCCCTCTGTTTATTTGAAAGACCTGATTCAAGAATCTACAGAGAACAAGAAAAAAACAATGTTTAAAATCTAAGAAAGAAGTTGAAATCCAGCTCTTATTGTTATGCAACGCTGAGCTTGACACCCTCTAACCCCTTGTCTTGCTTGGTGTCAAAATATTGAAGACCCACCAGCCTCTCACAGTGTTACATGATTTCAGACAGTGCCCGAACGAGTGTTCAAAGACTCAAATGTTTGAAATAGTTGTAATTTCAATTACCGCCCACCAGTTCTGAATTGCCCAATGGACATACCTTGTAATTGCCTATGGAAGGATGTCAAATAGTTTTTAAGAATCTACCTGTTATGAAAAATAAATCCCCTAAAACTGTTACCCATCAGTTCCCAGACTACAAGTGTATTGATTAACTCCCCATTGCTAGAAATCATTAGACCTTTTCTAATAAGTCTCTTGAAATGTTTATTTTTCCAGGTACACAGGTGAGGCATTCCATTTTGTGAGCTATGTTGCCATTAATGGTAGACTCTTTGAACTTGATGGTTTGAAACCTTATCCCATGGACCATGGACCGTGGTATGAAAATGAAGACTGGACCGATAAGTTTCGTAACATCATCGGAGATCGATTAGGTAAGTTCCCGTTTAGCTCTACTTTTTAATCTTTGTCAATGTAAAAAGTTTGCCATTTTCAATTCCAATATTACGCTGCATTAACTGCAGACAAGCTTTACATGCAAATTAAACAAAATGTTTCTTGCCATTACTTCCTTTTTTTGGGCTCCTTTAATTTTCCTGTAGAAATAGGGAGTTGTTCTAAATGTGGAAGATAACTTCTGAAAATAGAGATCTTGCTTTTCAAAGTTAATCACGCTCAGACAGCCTGGAAGAACTCATTTTCTGTGAGAATAAAGAAAAACAAATCAACCAATGCTAGATTCCGTTAGAAAGGAGGTGGCCAGATTGTGGAATAAAGAGTAAATATTTTAAAGTGTCCAAATGGAAAGCTTATACTCTTGGTCAAAGAGTAAGCGAGTGGTCTTAGCGAAGTGAAGTTTCTGAAATAAATTGATCAAAAATCAAAGGAAATTTGTATCAAAAATTGAACATTAGAGTGAATTTTCCTATATTTGCTTCATGGAGAGCTCCAATTTTTTTTTTAAAAAAAAAACAAAAAATTATTGCTAGTCCACAGATTTGAGGTTACTCCCGAAATTGCGTTCTTCCATTCCATTAATTTCAGTTACAAGGTAAGGCCAAAAAGTATTGAGACTGATATTCTAATCTCATACTTAAAGAAGGGACGGACCCGATCTTACTTCTTGCTTGGTCTTGTGAATCGGCAATGCTGTTTTTCTCCAAAACCCAATGTTTCCGACTTCTGAGGATTGCTACCAGTATCAAGTATATTAAATACAGTGTGGTGGCTTATGAACCCATAACCCATCTGCAGAATTGCAGAGTCGAATCATGAATTTAAGTACCTAGTTTGATTTTTCTAAGTGATCAATATTTATCATTCTGTATAAGTAATTGAATTTCAGGAATATTTATCATTCTATATAATTTAATTTCAGGAATAACAGATGGCTCTCAGATGACAGACATTCGATTCAACCTGATGGCAGTAGTTCCTGACCGAAGGCTAGCCCTCACTTACAAATTAAACATGTTGAAAACTAACAGACAAATAGTGCTGGAAGCTCTTCAACAGCTTGTTAAGAGCAACAGATCCACATCACCTGAAGATGCGAATCGACCCAACAGTAGTGCTTCTGAAACAAGTAAGAAGGATTCCTCCTGCGAAGAAAAAGAACAGTACAACCTAGACAGTAGTGCTTCAATCGAAGATGTATTAGATTTGGCCACACCAAACAAAATACAAGCAAACTACATGACGCCGTCAAAAAATCTGAACTCATCAGACCCAAGCGGTGAAAAATCCTTGGATAAAGATACGTCGATTGCCAGCGATAATCAGAATAATCTATCTAAAATATCTCTAGTTATCACTCCTCCTGAGAATCAAACAGATTATTCTTTGCCATTAACAATTCAAACATCACCAGCTCCTAGCACCTCCAGTACTGATACTTCCTCTGAAGTTGGATCTGCTTTTAACTCACCGGGTCAAAGCAGTCCAACATGCTCAAAAGACTTCAAAAAATTTGTTGTCATACGGGTTGCATTAGGTGGCATGCATGAGGATAAGTCAAAAAAAGACTCAGGTATCAAAAAAGTTTGTTTGGAGGCAGGTGCCTTGCCTCAAGGCTGGGAAAAACCTCCTTCATCAAAAATAGGCCTAAACTTCAAAACGTCTCCAACAATATCAAACACTAACCTGTCCCCTAAATGTGATAAAATAAATGAGAGTGATAGCCCCTGTAAAAAAACTCCTGAAGCCCCTAGTCATACGTTTGCGCCTAAAGACTTGCTAGCCCTGGTGAAAAGCCTTGAAGGTGAGATTTCTATTTGCGAAGGTAATCTTAGGGATGAGAATGAAAAAAGGAAAAAGTATAAAATTGATGACTGTAGGCGAACTCACAATTATGATGAGTTTATTTGTACGTTTTTGTCCATGTTAGCTCATGAAGGTACGCTTGCAGATTTGGTTCTCCAGCAACAACAGTGTTTTATTCGAAAACAGCACTCGGGTGCAGCTCATTCAAACAATTCTTTAAGCAACAACAGAATAAGGATTAGACATAAAAACATCAATAAAAAGAAAAAAGCAGGGACGAAATATAGGAAAAGGAAGTGAATATTCCTACTCCTGGAATAATTGTAGGTTTTCTCCTGAGTTTCAAGATGCCAAAGATATCTTTCATTCGCCATCGAAGGATACAAAATTAGCATTAGCTCTTACAAATCTATAATTTCAATGTTTTAGCATTCATATTCATCAGGATGAAAACAAAGAACTTCAAAACAAGAGTTAATTCAAATCTGGTAAATTGAAAGTTATTGTATGTGCATGGTGAATTCATTCATCATGTGAAAATAACAAGTCCAATTGACTTAGCACCAATTTTTTTTTTGGTTAGGCATTCTTCAAAGGACAACTTTTGCAAACCTTAAAAAAAATTCTGTGATGAAACTCTGGAAATGAATCCATACGAGAGATTAAGATTGTCTGCCATTACTAAAAGAATAAAATGAGACAGAAAATATACCACAGGTTTTGTATATTTTTTGCATCCACCTTAAAGTCGGCCTCCTATGGTGTAGTGGTTGTAGCGCTAGCTCTATGATCGGGAGGTCCCGGGTTCAATTCCCGCCCAGGCAACCCGAGATTTGATGGTCTCAAACAATGGTTGCCTGGGACTGGTTGTAGGGACGGGACTGAAGTGCAAGGATTAGCCCTTGTGGGCTATTTGAAGTTGGTAAAAAAAAAAAAGTTTGTCACAATTAATCAATTTTTTCTTCCATATTTTGTACTTTTTTCTGTGCTAATCAATGTAGTCTTATGTATGCATCCATTTCCAGAGTTTCATCACCGAATTTTACTCTAAGTTTGACGTATTTGTCCTTTTTTTTACGCTATATTTAGAATCTCCTCAGTATCCTTTGGTATTCTATTCCTCATTATTTTCTCGATCATTCTACCTACCTCATTTTGCACTGTGATGAGATTGGCATCAATGACGAATTCATTACACTAAAATTGATTTTGTCTCGACGGTTGTAAGCAAAACATTTTCTGTAGTCGAGGGATTGCATAAAAATGCAACTAGCACTTTATCATTTGTCTCTGTTAAAACTAAGGTATCCACCAAGAAACAGGCTCGTCCTCAATGCAGTTAGATCCTCAATCAAGTAAATTGTATCTCAAGAAAATAATGCTCTAGATTAGGTTGTATTTTCTGTTTTTCAGTAGTACTTAAACAGTTTTGAGTAAAATGATCTTTTAAAACAGAAACTGAGAATAAATGGAAACTATGTGCCAATCTCGAGGACTTCAGGTCTAAAAACTGTATCCTCTGGCAATTTAACTCAAGCTTTCGAATGGAGAAATGTCACCATTGCCGCAACTAAGTTAACGTGCCATCCTATCTCCTTGGGCACGCAAGATGACAAAAGAGGAGCTCCCTCTTCAATCACCTACATTTTTTTTCCACTTAATTATGCAAGTAAAACTGCCAAATAATGACTTTCCAAACTCAATTTTTTCAAGATTGGTATATGGAAAGTTCAATTTTGAAAGTTCATCTCATTGTGCACTGGAGGCTGTAAGGAAAGTCGCATGAAACATTATCAAAATTTAGCTGTTACCGAATTTATTGGTATTCTGTGTGTAGTCCTTTCCACAGCTACCCTGTGGTGCGGATCATATTTCTGTAGCGTTCTGTTGAGCATATTTTAATTCATGAGAGATTTAAGTTTGCATTTTGGGTGGGTCATAAAGGGGGGGGGGGGTTAAGAACCCCAAACTGTGCATCACCTAATATATGAGTGCCCTCATAGCCGCGCTTACAATCCACATAAAGTGTGTGTAATCACTTTGTACCATGCATAAGTTGCTTTTGGAGGCTTCAACCTTTGTCTTAACGTACAATGGGTGTACTTCAGCAGGTACTATTTTCCTTTTGTGATGACAAGTTTTTAATTTATTTATTTTTGTTGTGAACAGATCCGATTTTGTTATGCTCTATACTTTTATCTTGCTCTCTGTATTCCGCAATAAGACTGAAGCAGTCAGTTGCTGAGGTTGTATTAGTTTAAGTAGTGATCCTTGAGATTATTTGTTTTCATAATGTGTTAATGTACATTTGTAATTTGTTTGTGATTTAAATTTTATCCTTGTGAATAGATATCTTGTTCCAAAATTTAGTTGTTTTTCTGTTTGATTGGCCCACTCATATAATAAACAAGGTGGAGAAATGGTGCTGGGTCCACACCATTTTGTCACCATTTTCGCTTGTTACATACAGTATTCGGGCCACTTCTTAATGTTTTTTACTCATATAATAAAGTGAGTTGCAATGAATGATGTAACACAAATGCATTGATGGACAAATTGCAAAACCTTGTACATCCATTACGATGTTTTAAAATTTCTGCTCCTATTTTACAGGAGCCTAAACGAAGAGGAAAAATCAAGAAAGTTTTCGAGACTTAACTTCGACTAGTTTTTCAAAGAAAAAATAAAACATGACAGGAAGTTTGCAAGGTTGCGTGGTTTCACTTTTTAACCATCAATATGAGGATTATGTGACTCGAGCTTGAAAAAATAATCTGTTTGATGTTATAATATATTGTACAAAATCGAAAAAAAAAAATATTTAACATACATATTATATTAAACATATGTAAATTATGACTTTAATTAGAACAGCGATCAGTACACATATTCTTGGCTCTTGCTATGTACAAATCTGAAGCTGATGGGTAGCACAGTCAGAACAACTAAAAGGATATGAATTCTCCAGTACACATTAGTTTTGGTTTTCCTGATATGATAATCTGTCCAAAAGTTTGTGTAAGCTGAAAATACTTAGATTCAAAAGAACGATGATCCGGCCTCAAAACACAAAATCAACATAAGTGCATTTCAATGCTCTAACATTTCTTTCCCACGTTTTTTGCGTGATGAAGAATGATGAAATCAAAAGTTATTTGTGGTGAAAAATGAGAACAGCTTCATCAGAACTGGTAGACTCAGCGTGAAAGAATTCTTGCCCTAGAAGTTGTTTATCCAGTTGTTTGGCCCATGAAACTGATACGCATGGTAACAGTTTCGCCAGCTTTTAAAACTCTGACAGCTTTTATGCTTCATTTTGTAGTAAGCGTTAACAGAACTGTTAGATAAGTTTAGCCAAGTTTTGAAGAAATGCTTAAATTCGAATTAAGTTTGTATCAAGGGAGAGGTTAAAGGTTTAATTCTTTCATACGATTTAATCTTTCAGATGAAATTTAGCAACAATTTTTACATTCAAAATATTTTTCTTGACTTTGCATTGATGGCATGAGAGAATTTACGACCAGTTCAATAAAATCCAAAGCTTCTCAGAACTCATTTTCATTGAGCACACTGAATGGCACATTAAGACATACTTCATGCCTAACTAATAATAAAATTGTTTCACAAAGCAGCATTCAATAAAATTTAACAAAAACGGATAAAATCTTAAATTTTTAAAAATGGATAACAGAACTTATAATAATATAAAATCTTATCACTTACAAAAAAAATTTAGATAGCTTTCATTAGATACTTGAGCTAAGCAAATTACTTCTTTTGGATGCAACAGGCAGGTTTAGCGGTGACCGATGAATATACTTCGTTGATGAACTTCATTCGTTCCTCAAAAATTATCCCTGGTTTTATGGTAAGCTCCTCATTAATATCAAGGTAGGATTTGTTGCTTGTTGTTACTGGCTTGAAATCAATGGGCAAATTTTTACCAGGATCACTGGCGGACAAAAATAAACAAAAGGAAATGAATATGCATACCTACAGACCGGTTGAATTTTTTTGGAGAAATAGGCGGCAAATAAAATCTTTAGTTAAAAAACTCTAAGTTCTGTTTGATTCAAGATTCAATGGGTCTTTTTTGTTGAATCCGGTATAGACGGCACAGACTGAATTATATTGCACAGTTCCAAAACACGCCATCTCTCTTTTTAAAAACTAACTTCTTTGATTGCTCTTGTTTAATGCCTATCATTGATTGTCTCTAATTTCAACAGTATAGATGCGCATGGGGCTAGATTCACTTCTCTGTAATAGAAACGTAATTGAAAAAGTCAAGCTTAATCAGAAAGAGTGGAAAATACTTGAGATACTGACAAGAATATTGCTGGTGTGACTATGGCTTAGAGAGCTAGAGAGAAACTTATCATTACCTAAATTTTGCAAAATTTGACCAAATGGTTGACATGTGACTGATGACTTTCCGGTCTGTCTCAGATTCGAGGGGGTTTTTGTCTTTTTTGAGAACCTGATATAAAAGGTAACCCAGTTCATCAGTGTGACCAGCTCCTGAAGTTTGAAAAAAGAGGAAATCAAACACAAAATATTCCAAAGAAAAATTAACAAGGAGAACATGTTTTAGATTATTTTAATTCTAGTGAATTAAAAACATTATACTTGAAAATAGAGAGGAAAAAACAAGATAGAGTGATTAAGTTTGAACTACTGAAAAAGAGCTCTAACAACAAGAAGAGATGATATAGCTAGAAGAGCTAAGTAGACTACAGGCAAAGAGACTTGTGGCGATCAAGGAGATCCTTTCTAGAATTTGCAAAAAAAAACATGATACCTTTGAGGAAAGAAGGCCGCTGATAATTGAACATATGCTCCAAAAAACCAATAGTTCCGCGGTAGGTGAAAAGATAAGAATACGTTGGTTGAGAGGAGTATTTCAAGTTTGCGAAGATATAATCATAGAGACCTTTGTTATACATGATGTCACTGTAGAGCTGGAAAAATCAAATGAATTATTGGCATGGTTTAAGTTGCAACCTAATATATTAAGGCAATCGCAATTCATTAGGCAATAACTGCCTTGATTCTATTTCATTTCAAAATTTTAAGAAATATATCTTGCAGCTAATGGCTGTTATCAGTTAATTTCAACTCTGGCTAATGGCAACATTGGGTAATGCCTTTTAGTTGCTGTCGAAAAGCAACATTTGAAGCATCTGAAGAAAAAACACTTAAAAATATTTTTGCATGTAGAACACGAAACAATTCAACGGTTGAGATGTAGTATTAGACTGACGCCTGTTCTGCTTGCGCATGCTTGGTTAATTTCTGAATATTGCAAATCAGTAGTGCATGAAACCTCAATAACTTCCTAAAATGGCCTTCTTTAAATCTTCTTTTAATTTGTCTTCAAAAACTTAATTTTATCAGTTAGGTAGTTGCTAACATCCTTGAATTGATATGCAAAGATCATTTTCTTGACGCTCCAAGAGTACTGTCTTCCCCAACTTTCCTGAAAAGTATGTAACCCCTTTCATTCATTGGAATTGAGGATTGCGAGTAAAAATGGGAAACTTCCTTTTCTGGAGAAATGGGACTTCTCAGAGCTGTTCAGGAGAAATTTTCTTTCTATGAAAAATTTAACTGAACAGCATGCTAAGAGGCAATCTTCTTACAATTGAGGAGCAATCAAATAAATTTTCAGGAATTTTAGTGCTCCAATCATGGCACTTAACTTTCCCAAGAAAATTATGATCCCTTAACGGACTTTATTCTGAGACTGGGAAATCTAATGGTGGGGTGTACTGCAGCTTTAAAATTACAAAACAAACCTGTGGACTTGAGGAGGACTACTTTGACATACTCACATCTATGGAAGCAATAATAATATCTTCATATGTTGATTTCCCTTCGAAATAAAACTGGTGAAATTTGTTCACTATGTCTTTCTTAGTCTCTTCATCTAACGGTATTCCTTTGAATAAGATTGGAATGATAACAGATTCTGCCCTGCTTATGAACTGCTCTCCTGGTGCTTTTTCAGTAATAAGCTCTGAAATTAGAGACAAAAAACATCACATACACTGAGAAAATTGAAGAGAACTTGAAATATGCAAATTGAGCTTCCTAATTTGAGGTGAGCTTATGAATAAGAGCGTAGCAAAACCATGCAACAGATTCGATAACCGAATCACTTTGCCACATCACATTTGAATAAAAGCAACTGGAATTTGGTACCAATTTTGGTATGTTAGAAGCTTTCCTAGTATATTCTGATAAGAGAGATATCAAAGGAAGCAGGACTCCACTTCTCTCTCTGTTTCAGCACATCTAGGTCTATACACTTCATTCCCATTGTTCTAATTCTGACTTCCCCTCCACCCTTCGTAAGGCCAAGCTGTCCCTATGCCTTTTCACAACCTTGTATAAATGCTTGGCTGCGCTTAAACTGCGCAGCATGATTCATTTTATGATATGCGACCCCAACTCCCTCTCCCATTCCTTAGCCCTAGACTATTCTCCTTGTGCACAATTGGTCCTGCAAGCAGAAAATATTGAATAGAAAGACTGCTAACTCGTAAAAATGTAAAATTACCTAGCTTACAAATTTAAAAAAATAAATGGCATCAAAAAAAATTGGCTGCAATCTAAAATTTTTACATCATGAGGCGCTTAGCTGAGAGTTAGCTGCAAATGTTTATAATTGAGTGGCTGAGAGCTTTAATAAGACCTGTGAAAGTTTCTGCAATTGTGCTCCTGCAACTAACCTACAGTTTTATTACATGTAACTGGTCATATGATTCCAACCTCATGTAAATTCCGTTGCAAAAATCTTGCTCCATAAAGGCTTGTCTCAATCCATCTGATAATATTGAGAATCTCGGTACGTTAACTCACAGCTAGATGCCTTATCATTTGCTCCAGAGATGTAGATATCATCACTTATTGTCAAACTGGCTGGCTCCGAGTCAGTCTTTGTTGGACCGTTATTGTATTACGTTCAATTCTTACGTTTTAATGAAATAATGGCTTCTTGATCACAAAGACCAACCATGACTGGTACTTGAGGGTCCTGCTGCGTGATTTCAGAGCCTCTTGCTGTGATCATGCGTTCATTTGCCTCGCCAACGACATCAACGGTAGGAGTAAAAGGAAACAAGTCTCCGTCTTCTCTTTCCTAAAAGAAGTAAAGTCCATAGAATTTTGGAGAATATGGATTTTTAGACAGCTGCTTCTGCAATCCTATTGGTGGAAACAGGTGGTTGCAATGGACAAAGGACTCAAATAATAGACTGACTAACGGCAAACCATGAATGACACTGTAGTTGGTCCATCAATTTCCTCCCTGGTCTGTGATAACCACCCATTGTTTGATTCTCTCTGTATTTCCTTGGTCTATCGATTTCAATAATCAACCTACATGGCCAACAAGATGTAGAGTTCTCATGACTGTATACATCATAGACAACATCAGTAGCCATCAGGGAAAGACATTCATCCAATTCACCTGAAGCCAGTTTCAAAATACATTTGCCCGAGAAATAATTTTCGTTTTGCTCTTTGATGGGCTACTGGAGAGCAGATTGCCTACGCCACAGTGAGAGTCCACATCTATATCCAGCCAGACTCCTAGAGGTTCAAACTCAAACGGATAGGGAGTAGAAGCAGGGCAGCCATGGTTCAAGCCTTGCATTTCCTAAACATAATGCAACACTGATAATGTATTTGCTCCCTATCAGTGGATAAAGAGTTTGACTGGATATAGAGGTGGACTCTCACGGTAATAAGGGCGATCCCCTTCACAACGGCCTCACTAGTGAGAGATTTTTTTAAGCTTGGGAGTTTCTAAGAGAAAAAATTAGGGCATCATTGGCATCATTATGCGTCTTGCAAACTTTTGCCGGTGAAAAAGTACTAAAATCACAAATCCCTAACGCCCCTGATGCATGCAGGAGCTCCATTGCCCTCGAGAGCCTGGGACTTGTGATATTCAACTTACTTTTTGAGTGAGGATCCCTATTGTATTAAGTGTTAAGTCACGGGCAGGTGCACTCATGAGGAACTTATGCAGCTCAAGGGGATCTTCTGATTCAAAGCCAAGCTTCTTCGCTACTCGAGCAGACCGCTCTGTAGATGAGTCGACAGTGCCGAAGCTTCTGTTATGCAACATAATGCTCCCACTCTGAGCGATAGCTTTATGAAATAGTCCTGAAAATAAGAATAACTCCTGTTAGCTTGAAAACACTGGCCAGAAAAGTTTATAAGTATTTACATTTTGGGATGGACACTGACCAAAAATAATTTATTGTTAGGTGTTACTCAAGTCTCCCTCAAAAGGAGATATCAGTGCAATAAAACTGTCCGGCAAGGCAAAGATTGTTCGGTTTTCTGCCAGTCCTCCCTTGTACCTACTTCTATAATAGGTGAAATTCATGAATTCTTATAAGAATGAGGATAAATTTTGAGAATAAGATTGATGCCCCAAGTAATTTGGAATATATTAAAGTTTTCCAAAATATTAACTTCTTGGATTCTTGTGGATCGTGTGCGTACCTTTTCCTTTTAGAAGGGGTGAGTATAAGAGAAACTGAACTGAGCAAGCACCAGCGCTTTCACCAAAAATTGTTATATTGTTCGGATCGCCTCCAAATTTGCTAATATTAGCCTTGGTCCACTTCAGGGCAGCAAGTTGGTCTTTGAGACCTTGATTCCCTGAACATTCAGGGATGCCCAAGTTGAGGAAACCTGAAAAAAGTTTGGTAAAATGAATCAAAATTTCAAAATGCTTAAAAGACTGGTTCTTCTTCTTCTTCTTCTTCACTAGCGCTACAGCCAGGTGTGAGCCTTGGCCTCCACAACAAATCCCCGCCAATGCACTCTGTCAAGTATTCTGGTTCTCCATCGTCTTACTCTCATTGCTCTAATGTTCTTTTCTACATCCTCGATCCATCTCAGCCGTGGCCTCCCTCTTTTTCACAACAACTTCTTTCCTTTTTTTTTAACTTTTCAACTTTTCTTCTTTTTTCCTTAAAACAATGGTATAGCAAATGTTGGTAGATGATGTTAGCATGATTTGTGGAGGCAAGGTTTCGAACTTCATAGAACAAATAGAATAATTACCACTATCGATAGTTTTTTGTGAACAGGTGCAGCCGTTGGGACCGTTGAAAAAGTGGAGGTAATTCTGAGTGATCTAGCGATGAGATCTGCTACTACATTATGCTTCTATACAGTCTGTGTCTTCAAGAAGCAATATTTATAGTATTGCATGAATAAATACAAAGAGCTGATTTGTAACGTGTAGCAGTATTAACCCTTTCATCACCACAAACGCAGCATCATACAGAATCATACCCTTCCTGCAGCATTTCCGCCGTTGCTCAGTAACCTTCACTTAGAGGTATTCACATTTGTACCTCTATCCATCGAGGTGAATCTGAATTACAACTTTAGACACTTCCCAACAGAGCATACTCCGATTTGCTTGCATAAAAAACCAATTTCTATTGTGAGGCATGGGTACACAAAATCTTGCCTGGTAATGAAAGGGTTAATACTGAATGGTATAACATCACATTGGTATAAATAAATTCACTGAAAATTATAATGGAAACTTCTATAAAGAGCTCTGCTCATTGACTCGAAGTGTAGAAGATAAGAAATTATAAAGCTATCAAAATTTTGTCTGAGTGAGTAGGAAATACCAAAGAATTGTGTGTACATTTGACCTTCTTTTAGATTTTTAGTAATTATCCTAATTTTTTAGCCTTAATTCTAGTTTACAAGAAAAAGGAATTTGATTTTCTTGAATTTAAAATTATCGACTCTCATGCTGCCGCCTCTAGATGACACGGATGAGAAATTTACCGAAAATATGCAGCCTGTAATTGGGTATTACAAGAACAACATCTTTTGCGACTAAAAAATCAGGTCCATATAAAAAAGCATCTTTTTGTCCCTCTGTGTAGCCTCCACCAAACAAATAGAACATCACGGGTTTTAAGGTATCTCCTTTTTCAGGTACCTGTAACAAAATTAAGTATGTATATTTTAGGTTTTCAAAGTCATCAGACAATGTAGAGAAGGTACCTAAGCACCTCCTTTTTTGAAGCTTCCTCAATTTCAGCAATTTATTTACAGCACTGAGCCAGTTACAAATTTGTTTGATACATTTTCGGAAAATACCTATTTAAAAGATGAGAATTCCGGCAACTTTCTGTTTTTCATTGAATAATATTTTAGCTGAACAAAAGATTTCCAAGATCGCCGAAAATTCAACACCGTTTCAAACAGTAAAATATCATGTAAACAGATTTTGAGACAGCACAAGATGAATTGATCACTGTGTATCCTTAATCCTTTCACCAGAATTGTTTACTTATTTTCAGGTGACAATTGTAACAAGAAGGTACGTATCTTGACTTTACTCACAATATTAGTGTTGTCTGAAGTTAATGTTTATGTAATTTGTTTTAAATGAAACCGTTTGCTTGTGATTTGAATTGTACGATGGCCATATTGCATTGAGTTCAAGGTGTTTAAAACTGTGGATTGTCACCTCATTTGATGATATAGGCTTCAGGCAAATGGGACCAGTTCTTTTTGTAGCTTCAACTTTAAGCTTCTCTGTTCTGTCTAAAAAGCAGTTTGAACTTTTTAAAACTCTGAATCTAGCGAAACTCGTGTTTCTAGCTTTACCTTGGAAAAAGGTAAAAGGCTTTCTTAATTTACCTTGGAAGTACCATTTTCAAAGCAATTCCTGGTTCATGCAGCAGCCATGACACCATGTTAGGATTTTTTCCTAGTTGAGAAAATCATTCATGATTTACATTCTGATAAACAAAGGGTTGATGAAGCCTTGGACTCTACATTTAAAAAATGAATTATTGGAGCCATTATAATTTCCTTGAGGGTCACTTAAGTAGCAATCAAAATAAATTAAAAGTATTTACCTTTGGTGTATAAACGTTTAAATACAAGCAGTCTTCATCACCGCCAATACCAGAGTAAGCAAAACTTTTTTGAATGCATGGTAACCTTTCTTGGGTTGCATCCCACACATCATTGTACTTTTCTGGAGGTTCTGGATCCTGTAAGTTGCATAGCATTATTAAAATCTCTGAAACTAGGACAAATAATTTGAGAAAAAGTAAATACGAGGACCTAAGACCTAAGAACTGTCACGCAAATTAGTCTGAAAATGCCAAGGTAAAAAAACACCACAAGAAATCTCCGGAAAATTCATGAGATGATTCACCGATAAACAAATAAAATGTAAATAAGAAATACTGAAACAGCACAATCGAGATATGTTCCTTCACGCTGATAACAATGTTATTTCATGAATATATTAGTACAGTGGTGCTACGATATTACTATACCTGTGCAAAGTAGATTTCTGGTTCATTCTTAAAATTCTGTTATCAAAAATCCTTCAAGAGATGGTGATTTTAAGGGTGATGTAGTACCTTACCTTAAATCTCAGAGGTCCCACAGGAGGCTTAGCAAAAGGAATCCCTTTGAAACTGTAGTATTCTTCTGAAGTTAAGATGTTCTTCAGCTTCTCTCCTTTCAGCTTGCCTTCAGTGACTTCAACCAACATTTTGAAAAAACGAAAATTTGGAAAAGTCTTTGAGGGGGATAGCTGGAAGAAAATAAATACAAGATCAAGTTCTCAAAAAGAAATCGAGAGGAGGATCATCAACGTGGAAGATTGAGAAATGTTGTAGATATTTTCCTGCACGGAAAACCTGCTATTTTCTTCATACTCAATTACTAGAATATAAATAAGTGCTACTTATTAAAAAATTCTTTCAAATTTGCCAGTATGTTTCTATTGTGAAATAAGAAAAATACATGCCTGTTTGAAATGTTGTAAATTTCCTGACTTTTTTTTAGGAATACCTTTGCCTTGGAAAAAATATAAATCAGAAATCTCTTAAAAAAGCACTGGTCTGTATTCAGATGAGAAACTGGAAAACAGCAATATTTAAATTGCTGGTGGAGATTGAAAAGTTTATCAAGTTTTGAGATATAAAAGATCTTGATTTCAGCTTTCTTGACCTACATTACTTAACTAGTTATCACTTAAAATTTTGCTTCAGTGTATAAGCTTGGAGTTCTCAAGCTTCCATGGACTTACAAAAAACGAATATCCATTCAGATGCCCGTTCACATTGCAGACTTAGACGAATAATTTAGTATTCCTTCATGTCAGAGAAAAATCCTGGCCTATCCCAATAGTCAATGGCTCTCACTTTGTAGCAACCTCGCACTGATTCTGAAGAGGAACTGGAAATCGATGGGGCAAACTGGTAAGACAAAAATAATGAGTCTTCCACATTGATCTGTGTGAAGTTTGTATACTCCGAACAATCATTCTTCTTGAAATGAACTTCAAATGTTTTTAGACATCTGGAGGCAACTTCTTCATCGCTCCAAAAAATCATTACTTCGTTAAATGTTATATTAAAAAATCGAAGATTAGTTACTTTACCAGGGACATTGAGAGGTAAAGAACAAATGTGAATTAACGTGACACTAGGCAGAGATACATGCAACGAGATGTTCATGGTGATTTCTGGAGCAAATACTGGTTTCGTTTGATATAGCTCCTGCTTGCTTCTCATTTCATTCCTCAAAGTTTCGTCTGGAAAAGGAGGAGATCCAGCGTTTCTCCAAATGGAACTGGGGTTCAGAAGCGAATTGTCAAGCATAAGGAGGCGATATTTTGCTTCCTTCATACGAGGGAGAGTCAGAGAGATTTGAATGTTTCTTTTCGGGCCAATGTGCATTGCATCATTCAAAACAATCAATACAGATATTCTAGAGGCAAACAATTTAGAATCTGTGGAGCGGGTTGCAATGATTTTGTATCTTTGGTCATCTGGCTGTTTAACGGTTATTTTCTCAGCTTCAAGAAGAGCCAGCAGTATTAAGACGTTCAACGCAGGCTTTCGAAAGAACTGACTATAATGTTGCCTGTTGGTGTAATTCATTTGGAATCTTGCAAGCAGCGTGCGTTGCGTAAAAAAATGTGGACTAAAATTCAGGAAAGCATTGTCGTGACTAAGAAAAGATAATTGAAAACCAGCTTTGTTGAATACTTTTGGGTGAGTGATTATTGATTCTGCAATGGCCGCTGCATAACGAACATCTGCACGCCAAGCCTCATTACGCCACCAACCACTAAGAAAGTCAGACTCAGAATTTGCAAATGGAATACTTTTTAGCTCTGAATAATTGGCTGAAACTTCTTTGAAAAGAATCTTTGTGCCTTTAATGATTCCTTTGACATCAGAATTTCCTTTCTTGTGGAATGAGATAAAAGCTAAGCTACAAAGATTTTCATCTCTGTGGCAATGATCTAAGAAATTCCAACAGAGTTTATGGTTACTTTTGTTTTTGAATAAACCTGCAGGACCACCGATTGACAGGTTGAACTGCCTCATTGCTTCGGAGACTCCTCTGAAATAGTCCAGATAATCAATGGAGGTAAAATTTAAGATGTTATACATTTTTAGATCAGGCTCATTCCAGGTCTCCATTCGCCATCTTCTTACATTGTTCAGTCCGAATTTATGAATGTACCTCTCCAAAATTTTAGAAATAAGACCATTCCAGAACTTAGCAGAAGATTTTGCGGAGATATGTTGTGGAAAGCCCATAATTTCAAAACCAGGTGATAGCTTAGCTTCATTCAGAGTAGAAAGAACTTCGTCAAGTGAAGTGAAGTCAAATTCCATGTTTGAGACAAGCTTTTCTTTTGGATTAGTTAACTTGACCAAATCAAGCAGCCAGTGAATTCGGATATGAGATACACCATTGAAAGGAACACTGCCAATCAAAAATAAATTCATTTTTACATCTGATGATGTTAGGAAACTACGGGCTGTATCACCCGATCCTGGTGGACTAAATCCTGTGTTGGTCCAAAACTTCTCTAATTTTTCAGTATTATGGTGTTTGCAATTCAAATGAATATCATAACTTTGGGAAGAACAAAAGTTACTGCAAAGTAACAGGGCAGCAGTAAAGTAAATAGCTGGGATCGCCATGAAATCCCTCTTTAGGGCACCTAAAAACATCCACATTGATGTTTGTTGCAGGATGGAAGCTATGTAAATAAGCTACATACGTTTCAGAGATTGCATTAAAGAAACCAGCAATAAAATATGCTGAAAAGCCACGGTTTCATGGCAATCAAATTTTTACTAATGTTCCAAAGAATACCCGCAGCAAAATCAAAAGAAGTAGCTACCTGCCTTCGATGGTTACTTGAACAAGGATCAAAATCAACGCTAACACACTACTTTGATAGACAGAACTGTCCGTTTTATAGCTATTTTAAAAAGCTTAAATTTGGATAGTTACGAAGTGGCTGCTGAAGGATCGAAGAATCATGGAGCTTGTTTATCTGAGATAATGGGTCGTTCAACGTTTGCTCTGGTGATATGTAACTCCGGGAGAGATAAGAGGAGCTGACTGAGTGTGAGTTGAGTGTTGCAAAATGGCAATTGAAGCATGCACTGGTGACCATGGATAAATGATTATTTGGCGATGCGCCACGGCACTTAATCCTCGGAGCAAGATTACGTACTTAAAAATTAAAACACTGGCAGATAACAGGATAACACTGGTTTATCGTTCAGTTGTGCATGGACGAGCTTAGGTTATGTCACTATGTTTGCATTCGAAGTTCAGCAATCCTCCGCAAAGAGCGGTCCGAGCGCCCGAGCGGTCATTGGTCAGCGCACTCAGGAAAAGCGCGCCATAAATTACCCGGGAAAATTCGAAAAAGCGCTCTTGCAAAAGCGCGTCGAATTCGAGAACGGCCTCGTCTCTTTTTCGACTTCCCCCTAACTTTCCCCTCGCAACTTGGACATGTAATGTAATATTTTCTTTAAACATTTATACGGAGTGAGAGACTTTACTCTTCAACCGAAGAATTTTCAGATGAGTCATTTTAAAGAAGTGTTAAAGGTAAAAAATGGCGTGTTATTATATTTTTTGCTAAAGACAATGAGTACGCAAGTTTGTTTCTTGGCCCTTAAAAAAACTTAAATGAGGTATATTAAGTTTTTATGGTCAGAAATTAGTAAGGGGGCTTTAACCAGGTTGGGCTGTAAGACGATTTGTTCACTCTTTTTCGACCAATGTTAAAATTGGTCCATAGTTAATTTGGCCGATGAAATTCGTCTACATTTGCTGGTCCAAACAAATATCTCAATTTTTTAGCCGCATAGTTGAATTTGGTCCAATGGACGAGTTGTGCCCAAAATTGGTAGACAAATTTCCATTGTTTCTTGAAATTTTTATGACATTTTGTGGACGATGGTTCACAAATTTCAAAAATTTATGAAATTTTACATCTCTGATTGTGACATACGTTCCATGAAGGAATCGATTTGTATACATCCGATTTTAATGTAGGTAACACATAAAAGAAAGTCATTGTATATGCAATATTGTAATATATAATTATTATTGCCCTGGACGAATTACTATGATGAGCAAATGCTAATTGGACAAAGTTTTGCATCTGGATCAACAAATTTACTACACAAAAAATTGTGACCGATGAATTAGTAGGTGGACGAATTGTCCTGAAACCTTTCGGCTCCTCTTTCTTCCCCAACCAAAAATGCCTAGCTCTGCTCGTGAACCACACAAAAATTTTCCTCTTCTTTCACTTCCCACTGAAAAAATATCTGTCAAAGTAAGAGATGCAAATAAAAAATAAAAAAGAGCAAATAATAAGCATAATTACATGAGAAATTTGGAAGATGAGCAGCGAACTTTCCTATTTCATTATGAGCTTTAAATATGTTCACATTCTGTAACTTCTTTCGTTGACTCGCTCTACTGAGCGACGCCGCCGGCACTGGTGAGGCGGTTTAGTGTCTGAAATCAAAACCCCTTCTTTTACGTGCATATGCAACATGCGTATCTATAGAGCCTGAATAGTTGCGCATCCAGGCATTATAATAAAATTAGTTTTCTATTCGTCGCATGCGTCCCTAACTGAAGCCTTGGCTGTTTCTCTTACACCTCAACTTAATTTCAGCGTTGCCTAATGTGCCGATGAAGTGACCAATCACTAATTTTGCATGATTTAAATGCATTTTAACGTTGCGCCCC